AACGATCGCTCGTATCACTTGGAATAATTAATTGATGATCGATAATAATTTATGTCTAAATACTTTCATGAACGATAATATTATTTTTTATTCATTCATTTCTGTAAGTGATATAAGCAACTATTTTTAGAAAATTATTTTTCAATTCGTTTAATTTTTGCCAACTAATGCACCCGTGATGAAAGAGGAGCCACAAAAGTGCGTGCTAAAGAAAGACAACACACGCTGCAACTCGAATTTAAGGGTGCGCATGGAATGCATTCCGGAATAAAAATTCTGTTCCGGAACAGAATGGCGTTTGTCAAAAAATTTCCGGAATGCATTCCGGAGCGATTTTTGCATTCTGGAATAAAAATGCGTTTGTTAAAAATACTTGATTCGAATGCATTCTTGATTCCAGAATGCATTTTTGATTCGGAATGAGTTTTTGGCAAGAAAAGAGAAGCTACTTTTTGTAGCTTCTTGATTCCGAATGCATTCTCCCTATTTTCTCATAAATTTTTTTTTCAGAAAATGCATAAAAATTGAAAAATTCTAGAAAAATTCATAAAAATTTCCAGAAAATAAAAAAAAAAGTCAGATTTCGGGAAAATATGAAATTTGGTGAATTTTTTTTTAAAAAAAAAAAAAATCAAAAATTTCAAAACTTCACAGAATAGCTTAAAACACATGTGGCCACCCACTTTTAGTGAAATTTAAATTTTTGAGGTGCCCAAAAAAATCAAAAATTTCAAAACTTCACAAAATGGCTTAAAATACACTGTGCCACCTACTTTGAGTGAAATTTAAATTTTTGAGGTGCCCAAAAAAAAGAAAAATAATAATAAAATAAAAATTTTCAAAACTTCACAAAATAGCTTAAAATACCTGTGGCCACCCACTTTGAGTGAAATTTAAATTTTTTGAGGTGCCCAAAAAAATAAAAAAAATAAAAAATTTCAAAACTTCACAGAATGGCTTAAAATATCTGTAGCCACCCACTTGGAGTAAAATTTAAATTTTTTGAGGTGCCCAAAAAAATAAAAAAATAAAACAATTCAAAACTTCACAAAATGGCTTAGAATACATGTGGCCACCCATTTTGAGTGAAATTTAAATTTTTTTAGGTGCCCAAAAAAAAATAAAAAAAATAAAAAATTTCAAAACTTTACAGAATGGCTTATAATACATGTGGCCACCCACTTTGAGTAAAATTTAAATTTTTTAGGTGCAAAAAAATCAATAAATCAAAACAGATTTACTTCAAATCAATTTACGGAAGCGAGAATTAGTCATGTTTTACCAAACAGATTTCTCCTCCGGAAATCAATTTTCAAGAATTCGGAAATCAATTTACAGCAGATTTGAATTTAGACATTACCATTCGCACCCAAGCGTCTCTCCCATCCCAAGAAAATTAATTTAACGAAGATTAATCACAAGACAGCAGCACAGAAAATCGGGCACGCCAGCCTGTCCAATCACGAATCAAGGCTTTTGTCTTTGGATCGCTAGCGGGAGTCTTGTCGAAAACTTTTCTAGCAATTTCATGCCTCTTTTTTTCTTATATTTTTGTGTTTGATGCATTTTGGAGTCAAAATTGGATAACTCTAGATTTTAATTTTGACTCTATATAGTAACATTTTAAATAAAAATAAAAATTTAGGTATGCAGCCCTCTCATCATTATCGATAAGAATAGTTGATCAATTTTCCGGACTATGACTAATCGATCAATAGTTATGAATCGTAGATCTGTGTTAAAAAAAAAAGATACAATGTACAATATAAAGACCCTTTAAGTAATCGGTACGATACCCGTGTTATACTCTTGATATATAATAACTACATATTATTTGTTATTGAAGCCATATCAAGAAACAGATTACGCTATCTCCACTAACCTTCAGTGCCCTAGTAAAAAAGGATAACAATAAAAAAATGCTCAAACTTAAATTTAAAATTATGCATTACATGAAGAGATCAATTGCTGATTAAACTAGTACTACATGCAAGAAAATCCGGTACCTGCTGTTTTTTTATTCGTGTAATTAAAAGCATAGTCTTGAAGAAACAAAAAGAGCATTAATTGAGAAATCATTGAAGAGAAAGAGAATCAATTTGATATTGAGATTTGCTAGAGTTTCTTGGATCTCGTGAATGGGATGCTTCGTCCAACTGAAGGATATCAATGAGGTCAAACGCTCGAAATTGCAGTGCAAACCGAGACTCGAGGAGAAATTTGGGATCACTCTACTGGCAACAATATCAAGTTTTATTTTATTTTTCCCTTTTACAAGAAATAAATGCTTTGACTTTATTTATCAGATTATTTTGATTCTGACCTTCACATGGTGATGGCTTTGGACTCACCCTAGCATGTGGATGACATTGACTATGCCTATCTACAAAATTTCATTAAAATGAGGTGAATTTTCGTGGAAATTTGGATGCATGTCTTTCAAATGAAAGTTCCTAAAACAAGGGTTAATGTCATGGATAATCCTTGAACTCTTTTTCGACGTGGTCACTATACTTTTTTTTATTTGATCAAGTCCCTAAATTTTTAAGAAGCCACTCGTTTCTATCGACTCATCACGTGCATTTTTTTACATTGATTGAGGCAGGCCAAAGTGATATGTAGACTGCCACGTCCTTTTTCCAAGTCAACAAAGTTTTTTTTCCCTTTCGTCCCTTTCCTTTTGGGCCAAAATGATCAGGTAATGAGAGAGATATGATGTGGAAATCATACATAATGCCAAATCTAATGTTTAGTTAATGGAAATTATGACCTCGTCAGCTAACGGTGGTAGAATTTTTAACGGAAAAACTGCATCGAGTGAAATTTTTAAAAGTTAAGAACTAGATTGAACGAAAAGAAACGGTTCAAAGATCACAACAAACATTGAAGGAAAATTTAGAAACCACTCATGTCATTATCCCCTAAAACAGCCAATTGACTAGTTCTAATCACATGTAGATCTTTAACTATTCTACGAAAAACAAGTTCTGTAATAACTGGCCTAACAATTGGATGGTATATCAAGTCAGCTTTCATGCATCAGATGAAGTCCACATCCTTGATTCTGTCAAAAGCAACTCCATCTACGCTGAAACTAGGGGATCCATAAGAAATAAAACTTTCTTGTGGTTTAACCCCAAGTGATTGTGGCTACTAGGAATCGAACTTAAAGATCTGACATTGAAATGTCAAATGCCAATCGTTCTAATACGAAGAAAAATCCAGTTCTTGGATTCATGGAGTCTAGGGCACACTTGAAGGTTACCTGCTCCATCGCTATCATGGGGTCAATTTTCTTGGTCTAAGTAACGCTTCGCCAGTCATATAATATACAGTGTGTAAGGAAAATCTATCACGTTATTAGGCGTCCCGATGATGAAACATGTGCCTATCGTTTGACCGTCGCTATAAGCCCAAGTTCTATGAAATTTCGTAACATGGTTTGCGGGACAAGCTTCACCAGCTAAGATCAAAATCCATTCTTTCTCACTTAGCTGTAAAATTCATCCTAATTAGCATCGGGAAATATCCTTTGGAGCCATATCGCAGAGCTCTTCGTTTTACAAAAGCCCTAGATTGACCACCCAACTCGAGTTGATAACATGTGCTGGGCAACCCCGAACAGATCGGAAACTCGAAGTTTAGGAGCGGGTGATGAACGAAAGGAAGTCCAAATGAAGATGGCTCTTGGCCGCGGAAAGCCTAGATTCAACGATGCGACTGGTGCAGGCAAGAACAAGGGACTCTGAGCCAGAAACACCATGGCTTTTCTCCCAAGTTAAAGCAAAATTTATTTTGTGCACCAGACCCGCAGATCCGTAACCTCATCATCTGGAGTAAACCTGTATGATATGTTTACATTTTAATAAAGAGTAGTAGTGTCCACGTTAATGCAGAGTCTGAAACACTGCATCGTGTAGACCGGAAGGATGCCAGATTAGATACTCACAAAATCTCAAAACTTACTATGCATGTAAATTAGCTATGTCCCGACCAAAAAAAAAACACTATGTTAGGCAACAAATACGATGTTCTACTTCCATTGTTTTTGGCTCGTCAAAACCGACCATAGCTTTTTCTTAATAAGCGACGAACTAAGAAGAAGTCTTGGAGAATCAGCGAGACTAGCTCACGGGCTTGAGGGACAGAGGTGAAGTGCATATAAAAATCCATGATACGCCAAAAAGGTAAAGCACATCAAGCTGTACAATAAGAGTGTTGAAAGATGAAGAGGAGAATACACCCTCTGATTATCGTACTTATCCCATAATTAAATTAAGTCGCTCATCTTACATTTTGATTTTTCTGGGGTCCATTTTCGTTAAGGAGTCAAGATTTGTTCGTGTGATAACTATGAATAAGACCATTCACGATACATGGTTACCATATAAAGTGCCCCCTTTCGACATACTATAATACCTCCAGAATCAGCTCATTCTCAAATATATTGGAGCACACCCTCATTCAACAAGTATAATTGCCTCGTCCGTCTTATCACTGGATTTTCTCTTCATTTATGTTCAATAATTGTGTGAATTCATCCATATTAAGCACTTACTCTCGGAGAAATGCCAACTTTTACTCCTTTTAGCACTACACCTCTAAAAGAAGAAATTTGTTTCACCTGCTCAAATCGATCTCAATCTACTAAGCGCTATAAATTATATCGTTTATCTGAGATGTATTAATCAGTTAAGATGAATAGAAAGATCAAGCTTCAAGAGCACCTAAAAATGTTCAAATAAATAATGATGGTAATATACTTACCTACCATGTGGAACGGTCACCGAAAGGGCACACATAAGTTTAACCTTAATTAATTCCACCTTACCCTAGCTGGCTAACATTATAATGATGTGGTTTTATCAGGAGAAAGAACCATTCAGAATCACTCCATAAACCCTCTATAAATTCTTCCTCGAGAAGACCCAAATCACCCACTTCTCTTCACACTCATCTTCTATCCAAAAACCCTCAAGAAACACAGAAAAGCAGAAGCCATGGATTCTGTTCCAGGCAAGGCTTTTCTGCTTGTTCAGCTCTTGCTCCTACTCAGCTGCTTCCAAGAAGCCTACTGTTTTTTCCCCCAACCGCCGGTTTACCCTCCGACCCAGCACTACCACCACCACCACCACCATGCTCCTGGCCACCCTCCATTCTACCCACCGTTTCACCACCACGGTCACCCCCTGATCCCCGCACCTTCTGTCAGTCCCATGTATCCTCCGGCTCACCCCCCAGTTAAACCGCCGTTCCACCACCCTCCTTATTCAAGGGGCTTCATAGCCGTTCAAGGCCTCGTTTATTGCAAGTCCTGCAAAAACACCCTCTACGGCGCTACACCCATTTTTGGTGAATTCTCTCCCTAATGATTGAGAAAGTAGTGCATATATATATGCTCATTCTACTTCTTATTACACCTTGCAGTCGAAAATGGTTGTTCATAAGAAGTTGGTCGAAAGCACACAAGATAGTGAATTCGTTCACATGTCTAACACGAACTCACCGCATTATTTATTTGACAAAATATTGTGGACCATCTAAGGATGGCTTCATTATTATTTCCAGCATTATTCTTTCTAAGAGAATCGTAGCCAATGACCTCTATGTTGTATTTCATAGAGTTCAAGGACGAGTATTCCTCTATGTTGTCCTTCATTTCCTAAGTTCAATTACTTTAACATCTTTAACTTCCAATAAACGGTTGTGCGATTATTGTTTTGAAGAAAAGTTTCGTCGCTAGCGGCCTTAATCACCATTCTAATGTTCTTTGACAGTATTTATATATCATAATAAATCTGAAATGGCCATTGTAGATGAGAAGAGTGAAAATTATTTCAAAACGGCCATCTTTTTTCCTTTAGCTTCCACCAGTTTTCTCCTCGACAGGCATAATACTTGTAATTTCTGTTTTTGATTCTTTATAAAGTCAGAGGTTGAAAATTAACTTGAAACAACTAATGTTCTTCATTAGCTTCTACAAGTTTCTCCTTTCCCCTAAGAACTATATGTACTAACTGGCCGATATGTTCATGGTTCAGGTGCCCAAGTAAAGCTCCTGTGCAAGAACACCAGGCACACGGTGGTGGTGACTGAAAAGACCAACAAGAATGGCTACTTCTTCCTCCAAGCACCAAGGACGGTCACGAGCTTCGCCTCCCACAAGTGCAAGGTCTATTTGGTCTCATCTCCAATCTCCTCGTGCAGTCAGCCATCTAATCTCAACGGTGGATTGACCGGTGCCTACTTGAAGTGGGAGAAGCCGCCGTTGATCAAGCTCCCGTTCATCCTCTACTCGGTCGGACCTCTTGCATTCGAGCACAAGTGCAGAGCCCCATGATTCAAGTGAACTCCCTGTTGTGTGTCTCCCTAACTTCTATTGTTGTTGAGTGTTATCGTGATTCGAGTTTCATGAGAGAAAAGGTTGTACTTGTGCTTAAAGTATTTGTTAGTCGGTTTATTTGAGTGACAATAAACGAAATAAAAGAGTGGGTTCACACCTCTTACTATAGATATTATCTTTTACATACAAAAAGGTTTTTACTAAGCCGACAAAAGTTTTTGTCGGCTTAGGGTCAACCAAAGATGACGGATTGTTAAGTTTTTTGCTTTAGGGTCAGCCAAAACAACAAATTCTTAAAGTTTATTGCCTTAGGTCAAAGCCTAAGGCGAGAAAATTAGACTTTCGTTCCCTTAAGTTGGACTTAAGCGACGAATCGTGATTTCAGCCCTCTTTGACTCTCCTTTTCCTTTTTCACTCTCTTGCCCGTCGGTGGATCTATTTTCTTTTGCGCCGTCGTGCCGAGAGTTGACGAGCGTGCCCATGGCCCCGTAGCATCTTCCGTATTTACATACTTAGCTGCACGGGTATAGAATTCTTCCGAAGTGGTGGGTCGCTTCTTGCTGACAGGAAACAAGAAGAGAGACATCTGGAGTCCCGCTATGGCAGCCAATAAGGCAGCATCAAAAGGGGGATTTGGGATTTCGATGGCCGCTTCAACGAAGATAATCTTTAATTACGCTCCCCCGGTTGTTGCTTAATTGCTGGTAGTGAATTCTCTGTTCTTTTGAAGCGTTGTCTGCTGGAGAAATGGGCAATAAACGTATTTGCCAATTGACTAAAGAAGCCGACAGATCGCAGTTTCAATCTATTAAACCATACATTGGCCGCCTAGGGGGTCGCCAAGAATGCCCAGCACATAAGCGCATCCGGTGCTGCGTGCAGCACTACAACAGCCCAAAATGGTTCAACATAATCCAACCGGTCATCTGAACTGTCATGCTGGTGTAAATTGGGCATTTTGATCCCTTTTGGAAGGGGAGCAGCCATTATCTCGTTAGTGAACTTAGGGTCATGATGATAGGAATATGCTCTGATGCCTTAGGACAATTGTTCTCTGGATATTTTTCTCCCAGCATGTGCTCCATTTCCATAATTCGTCGATATACACCACTATCATCCACTCGGCTCGTGGAGCTGGATGTTTCTCGCCGGACTCCATGTCCACTTCCTAAGCTCGTTGGTTGAACTACCGACTCTCCTCCCTGGGCAATGCCAGCTGCGACTTGACCCTGCAGACCCTGCCAGAATGTATGTAAGAGCATATCAACCGCCGGTATGTTTTCCAAAGTGAAAAAATGGTCTCTCATAATGTACCCTGCATCTGATGTCGAAACAGGCTCCCATGGCACATAGGGTTTGTGAGCAAAGGCGGCTGGCGCATGCTCACGGCCAAAATGACCGTGGGAGATAGTGTTGAGGGTGATAATAGAGCATGTCGCATGGAGGCATGTAAGGGTATGGTGGAGGAACTGCTCGGCTTCCCTATTGAAGTCCGGACCATGGGAGATATTGGGAGAAAAGGTGGAAGAAGCCATACTTGAGCCTCAGCTTACTTTTATATGTTATTGTGGAGGGATCATTGGATTGTACTGGACATATGGTGGTATATGGATGACAAGTGTTGAAAAGCCGTAATAAATGGCATCCGTACCATTTTCGAGACCAATGCATATCCAACTTTTTAGATAGCGCTAGAATTATTATGAGTCGTCAATGAAATAACAATAAAGCGATGTCTTGTTAAAATTAACCTGTTGAATAATTCGGAATATTTATGAAGTCGTATACTCGAGACTCGTTTGTCGATGTTATATGCAGTCATCGACGTAACAATGACACATGTTGAGGATTGATTAGTCGGTCAAAATCACCTCATCAAATGCTATAGTCAAATTTGGGTCCAGGTTCAAGCTCAACGAGCATCGAAGCTCTCTCAAGAGCCCACTCGGAACTGAGTCCTCACCCCGGAAGCTCGAGCCCCTCTCTACAACCATCTTTAATCAGCTCCATCACAACGCTTATGCTCGACACGCTTAACCCATCCAACCGATCACCGTCTAGGGCAACGGTGGCGAGTGCGATCCTGGACCCTGTGGCGAAGGAGAGGGCGATAAGGCAGAAGGGGTTCTTCGTTCACCAGTTGCCACCGGAGGTGGAACTGTGGCTGCTGCCGCTTTTTCTGGTGATTTCAACCCGAGCTTCGGGTTCTTCTTCATCTGATAATTAAAAGGAAAAAGAGAGAGAGAATTTACCCATAAAAAAGGAGAGAATTTGAATCTTTTTGCCTCTGATCCGTCGTGTTAGTTGAGACGATTGTGGGATATAATTTTGGAAAATGTTCTCAGGGAAATTGAGAGTATATTTACTTAAAGTGTGCTTGTGCAGTGTTAATTTTGAATTTGATCTTCCTTTTCCGTTTTACTTATAAATGTGAAAAAAATGAAAACTATTAAATTGTCAGAGCTGCTTTGATTTTCCCAAAACTCAAAAAACAAAAAAATAAAAACAGTAGATGACATGACAGAGAGGAAATGTAATTTAATACATTATTGTTGGGCATTTGCTTCTTCTTTCCGATGACGGTGGTGTAAATCATAGCTTATATCGCATACAAAAAAATAAATAATAAAAAATATTCATATCGTTCAAGAAAATATTTATATTTATTGATAATGAAAATATTTTTATTACTTAATTATTTCAAACCGCACAAGCTATCATTTTTAGAAAAATATTTTTCAAATAATAAGGGGCTATGTTCAGAACAAGAAATTAGCAAATGTAGCTATTCAATTCCCTCGTGGTGCCTTTCATAGGCCTTACCCTGTCGAGACCGACTTTTAACATCCAACAAAATCCTCATCCCGACTATAAGGTTTTCTGGCCTTAGTTTCTAGTAGAGCCCTAAATCATTATTGAGAATCCCTATATAGTGTACGAGCACGGCTTTCAAACTTTAGCCACATAATTATATAAGCATTTGTCACATTTAAAAAGGTTTATGAGCAAAAAAAAACATACATGAGATTACCAAAAATGATAATGTTAGCAATGAATGGAACGCAAAGAAGAAAATAAAAAATAAAAAGGGTTAATATCACAAAAAATCATAAACTGATACATCTGTGATAAATTTACTCCACACTGATACACCTGTGATAATTTTACCTTCCGTTAATTTTCGTTAAATTTTATCGTTAAATTTTTGAGTTGGATGCTACGTGGCAATCTGATGGGTGTACCAGTTTGAGGTTTTACCCTCCGTTTGTCACAAATGTATCAATTTGTGATTTTTTGTGGTATTAATCTAATTTAACGGATGGTAAATTTGTAACAAATGTACCAGTTTAGGGTTTTTGGTGGGCAAAAAATTAATTTGGGGTAAATTTATCACGGGTGTACCGGTTTGAGATTTTTGGTAGTCAAAAAATTAGTTTGGGGTAAATTTGTCGTGCGTATATCAGTTTGGGGTTTTTCGTGGTATAAACCCAAATAAAAAAGAGTTGGTCACCGCAATTAGAGACAATCATTTGGCAGGCTTGGGTCAGGCTAGGGCTTCCTCATTATATGCCCTTACCCAAATGCCTTCAAGTCCTTCTAGCCCGAGCGAGGCCTGGGTGAGTGCCTAGATCTCCAGATCCATGACTAGGACTATCGCCATTAGATTCAATTATTTCCATGGTTGGTGCTGATATATGCTTATTTATGGAAAATGTTTGTGAATCTATTTTTCACTGGGAATGAGTTGAATAAATATTAACAATAAAACTGTAGAACGTCCCCATTGTATTAAAAAGTTGGAAAATGTTAAAATTGTTTTCTATGGCTTTCGTTAAGTCTTCTTAGATATGTTTTGAAAATGTAAACATTATCGTGTGAAGTTGACTGTTTAAAAATGTGTAATTCTTTAATTTACAAAGTCTCTTGAAAAGTGCGAATCAGATAATTAACTTAAATTATACTTTAGGGGCATTTATTAATAGGGTTAGTACCACAAAAAATCCCCAACTGGTACACTTGTTACAAATTTACCCCAAACTAATTTGTTGACCACCAAAAATCCCAAACTGGTACACCTGTGACAATTTTATCCTCCGTTAGTGTCTGTTAATTTTTACCGTCAAATTTATAAGTTTGATGACACGTGGTAGTTAACGGGCACACCAATTTGAGGTTTTATCCTCCGTTTGTTACAGGTGTACCAATTTATGATTTTACGTGATATTAATTCAATTTAACGGAGGGTAAATTTGTCACAAATGTATCAGTTTTGGATTTTTTATGGTCAAAAAATTAATTTGGGTAAATTTGTCACAGGTGTACTAATTTGGGGTTTTTTGTGGTCAAAAAATTAGTTTAAGGTAAATTTGTCACAGATGTACTAGTTTGGGGTTTTTCGTGATATTAACCCTTATTAATAAGACCCAAAAAAATTTCGCAACTCATGTGTGTAGCTAGGCGCTCCTCTAACTTGGATTTCTTTTAAATTCACCGATCACTGTATTACTGCAGAATTAATGCAAGGATATTGATGACTTAGGTTCTATTCAGCTCCTTAATCTGAAGCGATGTTTCTAAGAATTTTTGGGAACGACATGACAGTCAAATAAGATTAAAAAAAAGGGAAGATTATCCAAAAAAATCGTAAACCTATTGTTTTTTTATCAATCAAGTCCTAAATCTTTCAATTTTGCCAATTTAGTCCTAAACCTTTTACATTTGTGCCAAATCAATCTATCGAGCCAATTTTGGCCGACCGATACTGACGTGAACACCAACCGTCCAGCCAACACTTATATGGCATTCTTTTTAATATTTTTTTTTTTCAATTTTTATTTATTTTTTCTCTTTTTTTCCTTCTTTCTTTTTTTTTTTCTTCCCTACTTCTCTTCGGCCGGTCCGGCAACTGGCTAGAGGCGAGTGCCCGTGAGGTTGACCTCGCCGACCTTCGACAAAGGTCACCCCCGCTAGCCACCAGCAAGGTCAAGCCAAGGTGAGGCTGACCTCACCATTGCTTGGCGAGGGAGAACCCAGCGACGATGAGGTCAGCATTGCCTTGGCTGGGTGAGGCTCTCCCTCATTGGTGCTTTGGCAGAGGCCGGCGAGAGAAGAGATGAAAAAAAAAGATAAATTAATAAATTAATAAAAAATTCAAAAAAAATATTAAAAATTAAAAAATTGCCTCATCAGTGTTGGCCGAACGGTCGGTCCCGACCGCCGTCCACGTCAGCATCGGCCTGTCAAAATTGGCCTGATGGACTGATTTGGCACAAATGTAAAAGGTTTATGATTGAAATGACAAAAATGCAATAGGTTTAGGACTTTTTGGACATTTTTCTCGAAAAAAAAAAAAGAGCAAGTCTCATCGGTCTATCTAAGAGTTTTTAAAAAAATTTGTGTGTTACAACATTTTGTATAGGAGTTACGAAAAAAAATGCTGGCCAATTACTACCCGAGGAAGTATCCCTCGATGGACCTTAGAACTGCCCCCTTCATAGGTTTATGTAAAGAGATAGTTGTAAGAACCTCTCTATTGATAACGTACAGGATAAAGAGTATCCGATTCAAGATATAGACGAGTATAAATTGTTATTTTTTTTCAAAAGTACGTAAAAAAATTCAACATTACCATAAAAAAAATCGTATATTGATGTCATTATTATTATAAACTAATTTTATCATTAATCAAAAAGGTTACCTATTATTACGGGATTATTTAAATTACTAATTATCATAAAGATTTCGTATTCATTCAACTAAATATCATTACTCATTTGTGTTATCTCATTAGAATCCGTGTTATCCCACCGGCATTGGCCGAGGGTGTCGCAACCCTTGCCGCCTCTGGGCGAGGGCCGCACGTCCTTGTCAGATCTCGGCGTCGCGGCCTCACCCAAATCGAGTGAGGGACCGGGCACAAGGGCATCGCAACCTTCGACCAAGCCCTCACCGGTCAAAGCAAGGGCTGCAACGCCCTCGCCCAGTGCTGGCGACGGTTGTCGGCCCTCAGTCTAAACAAAAAAAAAAGAGTAAAGAAAAGAAAAAAAAGAAAAAAATCGAAAATTTAGAAAAAAAAAATGTCCACGTCATGCCAGCGGTGCCACGTAAAACCGGCGACGTTCACGTCAGTGATTTCTGGCCTAAATTGGCCGGATGAACTCAATTGGTGAAATGTGAAAATATTTAAGACTAAATTGATATAATTAAAATGTTTAGGACTGAAATAACACAAATTCACTAAGTTTAGGGTTTTTTTAGTAATTTTCCCTAATCTTACCTATTGTCACAAAATAGATTTTCGTGCCGATAGGTCTCACCTCCGGCCACGAGATGTATAAACTTACATTATGCGCGTGATAGAAATGCTAGACGTACCAAAAAAATCTTACCAAAAACCCTTTTTATCAAATGATATGACAAATTTCACATCATTAGCTTCTTTCAAAATCCAACAAAAGGAATTCCACATCGCTTTATAAAATAATTTTGAAAGATTTCTCAGTACATATAGCTTTTTTTAATTCTAGGGTTAATACCACGAAAAACCCCAAACTGGTATACCTGTGACAAATTTACCCCAAACTAATTTTTTGCCCACCGAAAACCCCAAATTGATACACCTATGAGAAATTTGCCCCGAACTAATTTTTTTACCACCAAAAACTCCAAATCGGTACAGTTGTGATAAATTTACCCTTCGTTAAATTGGATTAAAATCACGAAAAATCACAAATTGGTAAACATGTGACAAACAGAGGGGTAAAATCCCAAACTGGTACACCCATCAACTGTCACGTGTCATCAAACTTAGCAATTTGACTGTAAAATTTAACGAAACTGTCGGAGGGTAAATTTATCACGGGTGTACCAATTTGGAGTTTTTGATGATCAAAAAATTAGTTTAAGGATAAAATTATTATAAATGTACTAATTTAGAGTTTTTCATGGTATTAACCAATTCTAATTATACACAAGTCTAATGGGGTACATTTAAAAGCCTGTGTGTTCTATTTCTAGAAACTATTTCACGTACGAAAAGTGTATGCGCATGGCACAACAAAAACTCTTATTGCAGAGAGAGATCGGACGTCGGGTGCAGAGAGGTCAAAGTGGTTTCGCAGGCCATGCAAATTTAGATATTAGCCGTTCGAAAAACAGTTGAAAAATTTACATTTTTCCCCTTCGCCCTCCTCCGATTCAGAAAAACATGGAGAAATGGAAGGCCAGCCCTAAATCACGTTGAGTTCACGGGATAAACACCCGTGGTTTTTCCCCTCCAAGCTCACCGCCATCTCTCTGTCTCTCTCTCTCTTGCGCATTCAAGAAGCGAGGCCACCCCTTCGTACCTTGCTTTCTCTCTCCTCTTTCTCCCTCTTCCCTCCTCTGGAAAGGAGAAGGAAAAGAGACCCTGCATTCTTCCAACCCTTCTCTTCACTATCTGATATCTCCTGCGTTTGTGATCTTCTTGTTCTGTGCGCCCAAGAAGATGGAGTTTAGGCTCTGGCTGGTCTGCCTCCTCCTGGCCATGGCCGCCGTTGCCGAGTCCCTCCCCCTTGACTACTCGACCATCGGCCTTGGGTGCCGCCCCGCGCTCGGGGAGTGCAATGGGTTCTATGGTGGCCCGGAGATGGACTCCGAGATCAACCGGCGGCTGCTGGCGGCGAACCGGCGGTACATCAGCTACGGGGCGATGAAGAGGAACACGATCCCGTGCAGTCGCCGCGGCCATTCGTACTACGACTGCACCAGGTCGAAGAAGGCCAACCCTTACAAGCGCGGGTGCAGCGCCATCACGCGGTGCAAAAGGTCCACTAACTAAAGAGAGAAAAACGTATCAAGCAAAAAACAGGAGGACATATATATCGAGTGCGTTGATAAATTAATATTTGGCTAAATGAATTTGGATACATTATGTCGCGTTTTGCTGGCTTTTTCTCTCCATGTTCCTTCTGAGTTATAAATGATGGGTCGTCTCTCTCTCTCTCTCTCTCTTTTTATAAATTTTAATTTTTCGGGGTTATGAATAAACCCTAATTTATTATCTATGAGGTGGGGGGTTGGCGGATGTTGTTGTTCATGGTCCTTTGGGCATCTTGTCCAATTGATCTTATGTTGTCTCAATGCTGTGTACGTACTTATGTGGAGGAAATAATATGGCCAGAAGCCTAGAAATATTGGGTGTAAGTTGCTGAAAGTGTAGAATGTTAGATGATTGGTTAGGTCTAATTTGATTTTCTACCTTTCTTTCTCTGTTTTTGTTTTGGAATTTCTCTTGTAGTTTTTGTTTTGGAGTATTAAAATCATTGCCTAGTTCCTAACTTTCGTGCATGCATGTCTCCTCTTCCATGCAAACCTACGTACATACATATGTGAATGATTTTTCCGATATATGTTAGTTCTGTGCATTATAGCAATTAGATTATGTGGATTTCACGTGAGATCTCTAAATAATTAAGGACCGTGATGCACATGAATCCTATGCATCTTAAATTTCTCGTGGTTTAAGACGGATCTATAGTCATGTAACAAAGGCGTACCCTTTTGCGTTCTGCATTTTTGGTGGTTTGTTCATGAAGATGATACGAGCATTAGGGCATAGTATGACATCTGCTAAGGAAGCATGGAAGATCCCTTTGGACTGATCTTCTGAACATTATGCGAAGTTCTTGAAGACCATTCGAGTAGATGTTAGTACGTACCTTTTTCCTTTGCTTTGCTCTCTCTCCTCTCCCTACTCTCCCTCTTCGTTCCTGCTCAAAGAAGCTCGCTCAGCAACTGCTTCGTCGCCCGACCTCGTGGCCATCGCAACACACAATCTCGCAGCTGCCGCCGTGACCCCTCCTCGCCACTGCACAATCACCGAGCCTCGAACACAGTTGCCTCTCTCTCTCTCTCTCTCTGCCCCAGCAAGCAAGCGCTTGGTCGACATTCACATGCTACCGGTAGTCAACGCAAAGTCTGGCTTGATCTTGACGAGGCTCTAGAGAGAGAGAGACCCACCGTCGCAGTGGCGGCGCCGGCGGCAGCGGCGGCAACGTAATGGTGAGCAACATGGATTGGTGAATGGCACTGATTATGGGGAAAGTAGCAGATGAAAACGAAGATCGACGGATGAGGAGGAAATAAGAGGCGCAAAAGAGTTATTATAACCTCCACCGCAATGCTTTGATTTGTGATGGTATGGTTACCAAAAAAAACTAAGTTCACTCATAAAATTTGTTTAAGCAATGACTCAAATTACTAATATGATGAATACTGCATGAAAATAGAATGATCACAACTTGCCACTCTAGTTATAACATATCAATAAATTCCATTAATAAATTATATCAGAGTAAATAATTTCATCCGACTATATACTTTCGCACTATGACAATGACAGATCTTTATCAATAAAACAAAATATTTCTAATGACACTTACAAATGGCATTCTAATGCATATAGGCAACTTGACTGGTATGGTTTACGGTATCAACAATTCTAGACATAATTTATCTAATAATTTTGTTGGTCATGAAGATATACTTAGACCTGGTGCTCGGGAAAATTGTCCAAAAAGTCTTAAATTTATTACACTTTTGCCAATCTAGTCCTAAAATTTTTAATTTTGCCAATTCAGTCCTAAACATTTTTGTCTTTTTCCAATCGAATCAATCTGACCAATTTTGATCGAAATTTACTGACCTAGACAAATTTTATTAATTTTTTAATATTTTTTCGATTTTTTTTTAATTTTTTTAATTTATTTTTTTCTTTTCTTTTCTGTTCTTTTCTTTGTTTTCCCTCTTCTTTCTCTGCCGGTCGGCCCACCTCCGGCAATCAGCTAGAGGCTACAACCAGTTAGGGTCAGCCTTGCCAGGATTTGGCGAGGGACGACCTTGCCGACCTCGGGCAAGCCTTGCTCGTGACTGGCAAGGTCGCCCCTCGCCAGATTCCGACAAGGTTGAGCCTCACCCTCCCTTGCCTTTAGTGAGGGTCACCCTCACCCGAAGCCGGCAAGGTCATCCCTCGCCAGATCACGGTGAGGCCGACCCTCGTCGGTCATAGCCTCTAGCCAATTGCCGGAGGTTGGGCAACCGGCAGAGGAAGAAGAGGGAAAAAGAAAAGGAAAAGAAAAGAAATTGAAAAGAATTTAAAAATATTAAAAATTCGAAAAAATATTAGAAATTAATAAAATTTATCTATGTCAGCAAATTCCAATCAAAATTGGCCGGATGGATTCAATTAGCAAAACGTGAAAAGGTTTAGGACTGAATTGACAAAATTGAAAGGTTTATGACTGAATTGATAAAAATACAATAGATTTAAGATTTTTTGAATTAATTTTCCCCCATGTTGCTTTGACTTGAGAAACGATAAAGTCTGCATTATAGATTGACAGTATGCGTCGTTTACATTTGGGAAAATATCACCAAAAATTTCAAACTATGTCACTTGTGATAAATTTACCGTGACCTTTTTTTGTGACACGAAAATCTCCAAACTATGCCACTTATGACAAATTTACCCTGAACTTTTTTTGTGACACGAAAAACCTCAAACTATACCACTTGTGGCACATTTACCCCACAATACTTTAGCCCATGGGCATTTTCGTCTTTTTCCTTTTTCTGTTTTTTTTCCTTTTTTTTTTCTTTTCTTCTCTCTTCCCTCCGTCGGCCAAGGCGAAGCGAAGCCGGCGAGGGCGGCCCTCGCCGGCGCTGGGGTTGGGCAAGGGTTGCCTTTGCCGGATCCGGCGAGAGTCACCCGACGCCGGCGAGGGTCGCCCTCGCCCAATACGGCGAGGGCAGCTCTCGCCTGAGTCAGGCGAGGGCGATTCTTGCCTGAGTCGGGCGAGGGCGACTCTCGCCCGACGCCGGCAAGGGTCGCCTGAGTCAGGCGAGGGCGATTCTTGCCTGAGTCGGGCGAGGGCGACTCTCGCCCGACGCCGGCAATGGTCGCCCTCGCCTGGGCGGGCGAGGGCAGCCTCGTTTGACACCTGCAAGGGCTGCCCTCACCGGCTTCCCTCCACCATGGCCAGTAGAGGGAAGAGAGAAGAAAAGAAAAAAAAAGAAAAAGGAAAAAGACGAAAATGCCCATGAGCCAAAGTATTGTGAGGTAAATGTGTCACTAGTGGCATAATTTGAGATTTTTCGTGTCACAAAAAAAAGTTCAGAGTAAATTTGTCACAAGTGGCATAGTTTAGGGTTTTTCGTGTCACAAAAAAAAGTTTATGGTAAATTTATCATAAATGGCATAGTTTGAAGTTTTTAGTGGTATTTTCCCTTTACATTTTACAAAAGTTGCCTTATCTATGTAAGCAATGTCTCGTAAAAAAATTGAGAACTTCCCTAAGCTTGACGGAGTGATTGTAATACACATATCGGTACGATCGAGATCAAAAAGTTGATGAAATATAATGAACCCGACCCATAAAAATTAGTAAATTTGACAATATTTGTTCAAATAGGATCTCTAAAACAAAAAGAAAAATCTCTGATTTGCAAATAGATATTCTATTCTATGTACGTAGGGCCACATATGTTTTGTCTCAATTTTTTGTAATTATATCAATACAAACCGAAGTATCATATATAGTGTCCCGATTAGTGAAATTTGGATTCCATAATGTAATAACTCATTATTTAAAGCTTTTATATATATCAATACAAAGAGGTCGACCTTTTTTATTCCCATCATTTAATTTAAGGCATATCCTTTTCAAATTTTCCATGAAGGCTATCTTTTCTTTTATATATATATTGTAGATATTAACTTTTGCATTTATTTCCAAAATGCCCTTTACAACTTTTTACCCTTATTAAATGGAATATGACTTAAAACTTTCACAGAGGTCAACATCTTTCTAGAAATGAGATAATTAAAAAATTAAAAAAAAAAAAGTTCATTTTGTCCAAGGGTGGTGTCCCGCGTGGTGGCGTGGTGGACAAACTGCTTCGCCCGGTCCCATGCCGGACGGGGACAAGGGGCAGAGGGATGGGAACGCGATTCTCTTCCACTTTGCCGGCATCGGACCATTCCTCTGCCGACAGCGGTAGGTAAAGGTGGTAATTCTCGACCCGACACGACAATTTGGGTCGAACGCGACGCGAAATTAATTAGGTTAGGATTGATGCTAACCGTGCTCAAATCAATTGCATGTCGACCTGCGGTGCAAAACTGATGATCCTATCATGCTCGTGCCAAACCCCGTCAAACGGGATTGATTTCGTGTCGGCGAATGGATTTGAGTTCTTGTCATGGTTGGGTCATGCGATCGTGTCGATCTGTCAACCTGTTATTTAGTCGTCTTACACGGGACATGTCGTGTCGGCCCCGTTAATATTCTCTCGAAGATCGACATTATTGATCGATCGTGTTGTGTTCGAATTAATCTGTTTTGCTGTAAACCCATATGTTGCTAGGACATGAATATGAACACGACCCACGAACACGAATTGCCACCCCCAGTGAATAGTCCCTCCATCCATCAACCCGATATTTAATCGTGTTACACGGATCGTGTCGTGTCGTGTCGTGTCAATCCATTAATATTTGGGTCATGCTCATATTGCAAAGATCGACATGACTGATAGATCGTGTCGTGTTCGAACTCATTCGTTCTATAGTAAACCTGTACAGTGCCATGACATGAACACGCACACGACGAATCGCCACGCCCTCCCTCCCCGTGAATAGTTCCTCCATCCCTTGCACAACAAATGATTATCGAAGCACATAAGTTTTGCAACGAAAATGTACGAACGCGGCGGTTCGAACACAAATTTCGCAAGAAAAAGATTTTCGCTAACATAGTTTTGACATTTTCAATCCGGCGTAAGAACTTCCGACTTTAAGAGGGTTAAATTTTAGCTTTTTTTTTTTAATTTTTAGATCTTTGTAATTGCATTTTCCGATGTTTTATAGTCTTATATTCTCAAATGAATTGTATATTTCCATGCCATAAAATAATGTATGGTTCCAAAACGGTGTCGAGTCCTAATTCGTTCGGTTCACAAAATGTCAAGTTTGAGTGCGGAGCGAAAACGTATTGTATTTATATATTTTGTTACAAGATAAGGTATGATCTTGACATTTTCACGTTTATTATATGCGGACGATGTTCACACATAACATCAAACAATGACCTTTTGCTTTGACGTGCAATTATTGCTCAACATTTCTTTAATCTCGCCTCCAGATTTCTTTAATCTCGCCAAAACCCTAACTCTTTCTTGGCACAAAAGATTGCTCGTGAATATTTTTTTATTTTTATTTTTTATTTTTCAGTGTTTCTAATGAAAAGGAAGCTAATAGATCTTAATCCTATAGCAAATTGTTACGGTTCATCAATTATTTTCTAATGAATTTCACATATTTAATAGCTCGGATCATTGCGTCTGCTCTAATATTACATAGATGCGAATTTTGTCTTTGACCTATATTTGGGATAAAACAAATGGAGAAACAAAAAAAATAACAGGTTGATCAATTTTTGGATTAATACCTTTATAAATCTCAAATTGGTGCCTAGCGTCGCTAGGTACATTTATCCCAAACGAATTTTTCATCTTATAAAAAGTCTCAAATTGGTACTCAAGATATATATACTCCAAATTAACTTTCATCTCACGAAAAAACTTAAACTTGTACCTATGATTCAAATCCACGCCCTCTGCTAGCATTCCGTCCAATATCTTGTTAAGTGCATACGTAACAACACACGTGAAAAACGACTCTACAACAAATCTAATGTAGAAAATAACGAATCTAACGTGGAAATTCACATGTGTTGGCACGTATACATTTTAAAGGACGGTACAGATGGGTCGGAGTACTAATTTGAGATTTTTTTAATGAGAAGTTAGTCGGGGATTAATGTGTCATCAGGCACTAGTGTGGAGTTTTATGCAAAACGAAAAATATAATTCGAGCTGAATGCATCGTAGAAGTGTCGGTTTGGAATTTTTTTAGGAGACGAAAATTAATTCGAGATAGACGTGTCGTGGGTATCCGTATAGGATATTTTTTTCATGATATTATATTTAACCTAATAATTTACACCTGGGAAGTCCATTCTATGGGACCCTAGAAGCTTATCCTCTATCACGCGCAATCGTCCACGACTCGCGTTCAAAGTTTCCGCCTATTTCTTTTTTATTTTTCTCCTTTTCCACCCCACGTTTTATTATTCTTTTCAATTTCACCCCTGCGAAGCATCCCGATTGGGTTCTCCTTTTCAAAAGATTCTCAGATGCAAATGGCAAATTCCGCAAATATTAATGTATGATTTTCCGGTCAAAGAGATTACATATTCCACTAAGATATCAATCGGTCGTTGTCGGATGCTCAATTGATGCACCAAATCATATATAGTTTTTTTTTAATTAACTCCTTGTCAAATAATGTAACTTGAGTTCACACATGAATATGGTTCATGGTACATTCTTTAATTTGTGAGATCTTGCCTTTTGTCTTGAGTAAATCATTTCAACGCGGACAAACATTAATTCCCCGACAATGATCTGATTATAAGCGATCCTTCGGGTGATTATCCGATTAGAGGCTTACCCGTTCGGCTGTCTGTAAAAGATTAATTGCTCGAAATGATCTCCTTATTACATGGCAACGGCACATGAAGGAGAAAAATAAGGAAAAATAAAACGTCGTCCTTAAACTTTCGATCCTTTCAATGTGATCATTGAATTATTCCTAAATGTTCACTATAGTCATTTTGTTTGATCAAACAAGGGAGACAGTCACCACAAGCCCTTGAATCATTGCTAAACATGCAATACGATCCCTAGACCTTCAATTTGTTCGATCTGATCCCTCGATTTTCCCTAACAAAGTCAAATCGGTCCTTCGGCACGGTTCACAAATCATCACACATAAAAAACAAGTTCAAAAATTCATATCTTCCGGATGACGTGATTGACTCGTCACGCCACGTCCCACGGGTCTATCGGGGCAGACATAAATGGACCGGACCTACTCGGACCATATCATTGCACATCGCATGGCAATAATTCTCGAGCGGTCCCTTTTTTTCACATGCCGAAAGTCAAATATCTTTCTGCAACGTGTCCTTCTCTGCAAAAGAGCCACCTGTATTCCCTCGCATTAAATGGGGGCAGATTTCGTAATTAACCACATCTAGGAGTCCTGACAAGGCAAGAAGGGGCCTCCTCTGCAAAAAAAAAAAATATCACACCTCCCCACAACCACCCTCCACCATCCGTAATGCAATGGACCTTGCCCGTGGATCGAGCCCACCGTAGAGCTCCCGTCCCCTGCTCCGCGGCCCCACCGTATGGGGTCTGCTCCCGCCCGGATCGGACGGCCGTGGTTGGCCCATCACCGTGGCTTGCGGCACGTACCCTTGGGGGAGGGAGAGGTGTACAGCTTGTACAGGCAGTGCTTCGAATTTCCAAAAGGACAAAGATGGGGGTCTTGGCTTGGATTGCAAGTGATTCTCTCTCTTTCTCTCTCTCTATCTGAGCATTTTGGTCAGAGAAACGGATGATGATTGATGATGAGTCACTTTAGTTTTATTCCCCCCACTTTTGCAATTTTATAATGGTATAAGTTCTTGAATTGAAAAGTCAAGAAATGAGCAGAGAAAGACCAGGAAACCAAGAAGACAAAGTGATAACAGGGCAAGATTGTCTTTGGGGTTGAGTTCTCTCCTTCTCTCTTTCTGTCTCACTCTCTCTCTCTCTCTCTCTCATTCATCATCATCAGCCACCTTTTGCTTTGTCTGTTCGGCTACCGAAGCGCTCACAGGTGGCCAAGTTCTTCCATTTTCTTGTTCCTTTTTGGGTTTTCTCTCTGCAGTTTGTAGATTCTTTCAGCAACCCTCTCTCTCTCTCTCTCTCTCTCTCGTACTCACAAGTGTAAGCTCTTGCTGATTTGCTGGTTTGGTTCTGCTTCCCGCAGCCTGAATTGGGTGGGGTTAGTTACCTAGTTTCAAAGGGATCTTTGTGGTTGATTTTGTTTGGTTGATCCATGTTGTCTAGGAGCACTTTCTTGAAAAGTTCATGCTTTACCTTTTCTTGGTTTGAGATCTTTAAGGAGGCATGAGAATTCTCTTTGGTGGGTGGCTGTCTCTTGCAATTAAGGTTCTGTGCTCCAATTCTTCGTGGGTTCTTGGAGACTCTTGTTGTTTTGTGTGATGCTCATGTCTACTTGCTTCAATGTCCATGGGAAAGAAAATTCTTGTCATGTGTTGAGCTTGCCAATTAGTTGTAGCCAACCAGTTAAAGCCTGATTGCTTTTCAAGGCTTTTGTTTGTGTGATCATCTGAAAGAGTATGCTTTCTGTACTTTTTTTTTTTGGGTCTGGGTGGTCAGAAGAATTGTGAATTCTCTTGCCTTTGTTTAGCAAGTGCTTCGGCATAAGACCTAGATGGTAAATCTTTTTATTTTCTCGGCGAACCCTTCCATTTGCTCCAACACGTTTTGATTGTTCTTAGTGTCCTGAGATCCAGCGGTGAAGAGCTGGGGTCAATGTTGAAGGCTTGAATTTCCCCAGTTTACTTGTGCATTTGGGTGATCATTTTTTTTCTCTCTCTGGTCTTGATGGGGACGTGTCACTGACCTTAACCACCATTCGATTGTCATGTAGGTCATCAGAATACTGCTACATCCTGGAGAAGAGAAAGTTCCTTTGAAGACATCTTTTGACCCTAACTATGGATGCTAGGCCAAGTGACCATCAGAAAGATCAGAAACAGACAGAAAATTCGCTTGCCGAGGTGAGTCTTGAGAAACCGTGCACTTGTTATGCTCTTTTGATTGCATCTTTGTGGTTAATTACAATAATTCAATGCTTCCAGGTATCTAGCACTGAAAAACTGTTATGGGCATCGGTCAATTTGAAAGGTCTATTGCATCCCGATGTCAAACATTTGTATCACCAAGTCTGTTCAGTTTATGAAAAGAGCATCTTGAAAGACTCCGAGCAGGCGGATTTGCAAGATATCGAGTATTCTTTGTGGAAGCTCCACTACAAGCATATCGATGAATTTCGTAAACAAATAAAGAAAGTTTCTAGTTGTATGAATTCTGAGGTGCCACAGAATGTTGCCAATGCACAAAGAAGCACTGATGATTACACTGAAGGAATCAAGTTATTCTTGTCAGAAGCAACTAATTTCTACAACAGTCTCATTGTCAAGGTACAAAGATGTCATGGAATTCCTGAAGATACCTTGTTCCACAGAAACAGCGGCATAGTAAATAATGTTGATCAGAAGAGGATAAAGAAATGGCAATTTTTATGCCATCGCTTCCTAATTTGTCTCGGGGATCTCGCAAGATACAGAGAGCTTTACGAAAGACCCGACAATCAAAACCGTAACTGGTCTATTGCAGCAGCTCATTACTTGGAAGCATCGACAATTTGGCCAGATAGTGGAAACCCGCATAATCAGGTATATCGTCTTACTTTCGTCTATACCTTGTATTTATCCGTGGATTCGATTTGAATTGCATATATTGAGACAGTTATATATTGTATCGTAACCAATTAGTATTGTTTATAGTTGGCATTACTGTCGACTTACGTTGGTGACGAGTTCCTTGCTTTGTACCACTGTATAAGAAGTTTGGCCATTAAAGAACCTTTCCCGGATGCATGGAACAACCTTATATTACTGTTAGAGAAGGTAAAATGTTTTTCTGTTTGATCATGCACCTTTTGCCATGATCCTCATTCTCCAGTGTTCCTTGCAGTTCTAAATTGCTTGTTACGACTATGCAGAGCAGGTCGTCTCTTTTGCATTCCCATTCTGCTGAGGCCTCAGTCGATTTTTCGATACTTTCTGAAAGAACGAAAGTTCTGACTAAGTTGCAATCCGGCGATCTTGTGATGAACTGCTATTTATCTACAGACGAACGTGGTTGCTTAGGAAGAAACTTATGGCATCTTTTCGTCATAATGATAAGTTTCTTCTATGTAAGATCCAGGTACTAGTTCTACTGAAGTGTATTGTTACCATGTGTGTCGCTCCATGCTGCGTTTGTCCTGACAAAGATAAATTTTATGATATCTTCGCCTTGTATTTTGTCAGACTCAGAACGCTTATGTACACTAATCTTTCTTTTACTCTGTCGTTTGAGCAGTTTGGATGACTTTTTGAGAGCCTTTTCTTCTACAAAAGGAGAATTGGAAGCTTTGTTAGATCTGGACGACATTAATCTCGAATATGCTTTGAAGTCATATCAGTTTATGGATCCAACAAGAACAGGCCCGTTTCGAGCCGTCCAAGCCATTTGTGTCTTCATCTTTGTCATCCAAAACCTTCCCAAGAACCCAGTAATGACTAACTTTGAAGACAAGAAGGAAACGCCACCGCTCCTCTCTAGAGACCATGTAGTGATGGCTCTATTTACATATGTGAATCAGCTCGTTGATCGAGTTGTGAAGGCCAGTCCCTGGGATTCCTGCCCTCTTTTACCAGCTATTCTTGTGTTTGTGGAATGGTTGGCAAATCTTCCTGCAGAAGAGCATCTTTGCGGGGCTGATGAAAAGAGCGAAGCGGCTCTGTCTTCTTTCTGTAAGAGCTTTATTCGCCTAGTAAACCTCATGCACTCTCATGTGGGCGAAGTTAAGCCTCAAGATTTTGCTCTTTGGGAAGATTACGAGTTGAGAGGCTTTGCACCTGCTGCACGCACGCATGTCATGCTGGATTTCTCATCTCATTGGGAAAATAGCACCGACTATCGAAGTGGTAAAGTGTGCCGAGCCCATCGAATTATTGTTGCTGCTGTTAGGATTGCTGAAAGCTCTGGTCGTCATCACAGGTGGATCCAGTATGATAAGCTGAGAAGACAATTCTATGAGCTGGAGTCAAATGGATCTACAGAGATGAAATGCTCGGAAAAAGATAAATCCACAATGGGTACCAATCCAGAACTGAAAATTTCTCCACCACAGACAAGTGAAGTCACTGAAGAACGAGGAAAGGAAGTCCTCAGAGAAAGTCCGAGAAGATCTTTCACCTTGGAGGAGGAGGAAGTCATTCTGTTCAAGCCTCTGACAAGACACAACTCGGCTCCGCTTCATAGTTACATCACCAAAAAAGGAGACTCCCATGAAGAACTAATGGATCAATCAGCACCGCCTGATGAATGCTTGCGTCGTGCCACATCTTTGCTCATAGCCCAGAACCCTGTGCACAGTGAACCATCTAATTTCCAGCCCAACAACAATAGTTTCAGGCACAATGAGCCATTCAAGCAGCAGCACCTGCCGCCGCCAATTTTTGGTGACATGGCAAACTTGTTTCCTGGAACCCCAATCTCTTCCGGTGCCGGGCCTCCCTCACTAAATGCGTGGGTCCTCAACGGAGGAAGCTTGAACATGGATAAAGAGAAAGGGATCGATTTGGGTAAACGTCACCTACCTCCTATAGAGGAAATAGCTTCTGAATCACTGGCCGATCTCTCCATTAACAAAACCACCGAGCCGCAGAATCCAGTTGTCGGTTCTTGCTATGAATCCGTAATAACCCATTACCCTTCTCCTCCTTATTCCACTCCCGTGCCTTCTGCGCCTCTTTTACCAGATAATGCTGTGTGGTTTAGCGGAGTGAATACATCTAGTTTCTCTGATCACAAGACAAACGAGACAATTGGGGTAACTGAGAATTTTCTCAACGCATCACCTGGGAAGAGCTATCCAGATTATGCTGTTCCTCTTGCACCTAATGCTTCTAGTATTGGTGCCGCCGGCTTTAACTATGTATACCCTATACAATGTGGAATGAGTTCTTCGGAATGGCTTCGCCAGTTCAGAGAAATCAACAATCTCCATCAGGGCAATAACGGTCAATTGTTGAGTCCTAGTTTCCATGGTCCTGGAAACACCGGAAACGTTTATCATCTCGGCGTCCCTCAAATCAATCCGATCAACTCATGGGTAACTCCCTCGTTCTCTAACCAAACAGTATACTCAAACCACCAGGCTGCGACTCCCGGATTTCCTGCCTTTTACGGAGTGGACGAGCCAAAGGACAGAGTCTATCATGCGTATTATCGAGCAAGTCCTTATGGTTGCGGTGCTGTGACAGCGGAACCGAGAGACGATCAGCAGGTGCTTCTGCAATACCTTAAAGAGAGAGAATGGAGGCTCCAGCAGGATCCTAACCTGCGAGGTCCCACGTTCTAGGAGATGAAGTGGATATATCAACTCTTGAGTGGCTTGCCGTGGCAATTACTTAGCTGGAGTGTGTGCTTTCGTGTGATTAATCACGCTAAAGACTCACTGGTCGCAACCCATTTTCCTGGTGTGCAACTGTATGTAAAACTCATTGTACAGCGGATCTGATACAGGTAGACAAGGAAGAGTCATCTAGGAAGAAAGAAACATGATACTCTCTCGTAGTGAGATTTAAGGATCTGATATTTGCTTATGCCCCTTTTGGACAATGTAATTGCTGAGAAAATGCCTAGAGAACCTTTTCGTCTTCTGACAAAACAACACTTTCTTTTAGTTGATGATGAAATGATAACCAAAGCATGGCTAGAGGCTGTTTATGTTTCTTTCCCTAGAGGGCATGTTCATTGAATTGATTTCTTGCTGCAGTCAAAGATTAGGGCTTGGTGATGGTTGGCCTAGTATTTGCATTGATATGCAGGTTCCAAGTTGATGATTCTTTTGCCGTTGCAATCATAACATAGCTGGATAATCTTGTTTTTAGAAGTAGAACCAGTGATGATTCTTTTTCGCCTCGAGTAGGAAATAAGATGACCCAAGGACTGCAGCACCTTCTGCATCATTAGGTTAGTCATGCATGGATTTAGACCATAGTATCCTTCCTGCATAGGAAAGGCAAGACATAGAACACCATGCGCTATTTGCACATTAAGAAGCATGAGTCCTCTGCTATATTTCTAGTCTTTATTTTAAACTCACAGGGGCACGAACGTGCCGGAACACCCTCCGAATATCATAGTTCGGTTAAGTCCGGACCCTCAGATTGTGCAGGTGATCTTGACCAAAGCTGTAGAAATGCTAAGGAAGCGCATGATAACCATTCTGATCCGGAATGAGTTCCTGAACCAGAAATAGATTTTTCTATTTCTGGTTCCTGGATGAGTTTCTGGGAAAAAAAACCCGCTTTGATAACGACAAAAATTTCTCGTTTTTGTAACGAAACCCGTTTGATAACAAGCACGAAATTTCTATTTCCCGAAACAAAAACCCGTTTGATAAACAACATAAAATTCTATTTCCAGGAACAGAAATCCATTTTTTTAGAAATGAAATAAAAATAAAAAAAAATTTGAAAAATTCATAAAAATCTTTAAAAAAATTCCGAAAATCCCAAAAATTTGAAAAATTCTAGAAAAAATCATCAGAATGTTGAGAAAATAAAAAAAAATTCAGATTTCGGGAAAATAGGGAATTTGTTGAAATTTTTCAAAAAAAATAAAGAAATAAAAATTTCAAAACTTCATGAGAATTCTTAGAATACCTGTGGCCATCCACTTTTAGTGAAATTTAAAATTTTTAGGTTCCCAAAAAAATCAAAAATTTCAAAACTTCACAGAATAGTTTAGAATACATGTGACCACCCACTTTGAGTGAAATTTAAATTTTTGAGATCCAATAAAATTAAAAATAAAAATAAAAAATTTCAAAAATTCACAAAATCGCTTAGAATATTTGTGCGCCACCACTTTTGAGTAAATTTTAATTTTTTTAGATGCCCTAAAAAATTTATAAAAATTAAAAATTTCAAAATTTCACAGAATGACTTAGAATACATGTGGCCAACCATTTCAAGAGAAATTTAATTTTTTTTGAGATTTCCAAAAAAAATTAAAAATTTTAGAAATTTCAAAACTTCATAGAATGGGCATAGAATACCTTAGGCCATCCACTTTGAAAGCGAAATTTAAATTTTTTAGGCAAAAAAAAATCAAAAAGTGAAAAAATCAAAAATTTCAAAACTTCACAAAATGACTTAGAATACCTGTAGCCACCCACTTTGAGCGAAATTTAAATTTTTTTAGGTACAAAAAAATATTAAAAATCAATAATTTAAAAACTTCACATAATGGCTTAGAATACTTCTAGCCACTCACTTTGAGTAAAATATAAAATTTTTGAGGTGCCCAAATGATATTTTTTATTTTTTGCTTTTTTATTTCATCACCTAAAAAAATATTAAATTTCACTCCAAAGTTGGTAGCCACGAGATATTATAAGCTCATTCGAGAAATTTTCAATTTTTTTTTTTTTTATTTTTTTCGAAATGGTGTATGACGATATTCTAAGTCATTCTATGAAGTTTTGATGTTTTTAATTTTTTAATTTTTTTCGACACCTAAAAAAAATAAAATTTTGCTCAAAACGGGTGGCCACAAATTGTGAAGTTTTGAAATTAAATTTTACGTTGGATTCGTAACGTTACGTACGCTCGCACACAAATTCCAGTCAAATTAATGCAAATGGCCAAGCACTGGAACGGGTCTTCAGCATTCAACCACCATCGTTCTCGATATTTGCTCTCAATATTTGTGAGTATGCATCGTTCCGCATAATATCGCAAAAGCTTATGGAGAAAAGTAAACCAAGCACATCACATTACAAGAGCCAATATAGGAGATCCCAAAATGCCACGTCACATTACAAGAGCCAACATAAAAAATCCTCAAATACAAAATAATGGAAATACATTAGAAAAGTCGGAAACACATTTTCATGGAATCTCCGCCATATTATTATCAATTGCCAATTGATTGGCAATTCTTTTCCTAAGCATGTTGATCTCGATATCCTCCTCTGTTGATGTATCGTCAATAACCTCATCTTGTGCACTTCCAAACGAGTACTCCGAAAAGGAAAGTAAAAAACCAGACTTCATTTGCTAAGAACACTTGAGCAGCTAGAGTGTGGAGAGAAGTCCAGGTGGCCCTCCCGAGTTCTCCTTTACTTGCAGGTGCAGCAGCTTGTACCTGAAAAAAATATTTAGTTAAAGTTTCAGACAGGCAACTAATCTCGACGAACTCAAACATCATCCTCACAGCCTTTGGGCACAAAATTTCTTCCCGTGTAACTTTGTCAACTGCTTAAGACATTTAGGCGGGTATTTACTTTAAAATGCAATAGAAGGAACATGCCCTAAGGAAATGCGTACCAGAAGTGAGAACATTGAACAGAATAGCATGATTTATGTGCTTCCAGAAATGCCATTATAAAGAATTAAACAGCATTGGTAGCATCATCCTAAGACATAGTGCTAAAACATCTTTGGTATCTACGGGTCTATTATGGTGGCTCAAATCCCAGGACAGCAATTCAATCAATTGACAAAACAGGGGACGCATACAAAGCAATCACGACAGCATCAGCCCCCGAATCAAACACTAAAAACAACCAAAATTTTCCCAAACTGACCGAGGGAAAGCAACGAACGCCAAACTCCCACGAATGGTCATGCGCAAAAGGCAAAGTCACAGGGATGGAAAACTGAAGTTAAATTTACTACAATATTATTGCATTTTTTGCTAGCTATCATTCCAAAAGGGGAATGATGCTTATGAAGTCTGTTAGCAATTCTTGTTCCCCATCCAGTTGGGGAAACCTACGTTAATGTTGAACGAGGTTTCAAAAAATTGCACCGAAATCATTCTATAGAAATCTTCCTCCATTCACAGAATTCATAATATTCGGACAACTCCCAAGCAGTGGAAGACTTCGGAGATGCACATCAATTTTTAAAAAACACAAATCATCAGAGTTAAATCAACAAGATTCGCAAATTTCAGAACAGTTGAAGAACTCCCAGTCGAAGATTTCAAAGAAGAAATTGCATACCTGAGTTGAACCTCCAAGAATTTTGACACGAACACTTCGAAGAAGTGGAAATCGAACCCGACTGCAAAATTCCCCAGATCAAATCAGTGAAAAAATCGGGCGAAACACTGGCTTTCAAAAATAGAAACCCATTTACTTCACCAATTTGGAGTTCGCTACCAATTATGGAGCAACTGTTCAGTGGTCAGAATGTTCCCAAGCATCGCGACTTCTACATCTTTCAGCTTATTAAGAGGTCCCCATTCAATATCCCGAGCACGTTAATGCGAACCGACTAATCTCATCCAACCCAAACCCTAGCAATCTTCGAGTCCACACACCACAAATTCTTGAGAAACAAACACCCCAAAAACTGAAGGAATCCTAAGCGACGGAACCGACTTACCATAAATCCTAAACAACCAAAATTTTCCCAGGATGACGGGCGACGGCGAGCTCGACCGCCGCCCACCTGCGAGGCCGCTCGGCCTCGCCCGGATCTGGGCGACGGCGAGCTCGACCGCCGCCCATGGCGAGAGCCGCTCGGCCTCGCCCGGATCCGGGCGACGGCAAGCTCGACCGCCGGCCCGGGCGAGGCCGCTCGATCAGGGGAGGCCGAGCGGCCTCGCCCAGGGGGCCGGCGGTCGAGCTCGCGGTCGCCCGTGATCTGGGCGACGGCGAGCTCGACCGTCGCCCACGGCGAGGCCGAAGCTGACCCCCTCGATCACGGCGACTTCCAAATCCAGAAAAGAGAGAGATGAGAGGAGATTTGCGCACGATCGGAGCTTACGTGGAGCAGGAGCGAGCGGCCCTGGCTTCCTCTCGGTCGGAGCAAGCGAACGAGTGGCTTGGCTTCCTCTGTCGACGGCAATAGAAGAGAGTAGAGAGAGAGTCGGGCAGAAGAGAGAGCTCGAAGGAGACGAGAGAGAGATGTGTCGAAGAAAATCGATTTCTTCGGGAATGAGTTCTCACTTTTGGTCCAGAAACGAAAAACCTAGTTTTTTCTGTTTCTCATTTTTGGTCCAAAACGAGTTCCGGGACAAAAACTTGTCCCGGAAATAGAAAAATTAAATTGCGTTAACAAACGGGTTTCTGGTCCAAAACTGATTTCGGGAGCAAAAAACCAGTTCTGGACAGAACCAGAATGATTATCATGCGGTACCTAAAAGTCTCGTTTACCTAAGTCATGAGTAAGCCATTTATGGCCGACTACTTTGGTCTCTAGATAGTTCGGCAGGCCATTGTCCGGAGCAGAAAAACCACGATACAAATAAGGCATACATGAACTCATCAAGCACTCAATTGATGATATCTTACCATAGACTTTACCCGGTCTACTCTTCTGGACATGATGTTGAAGCTGATAGGCATGTACACAGCGGGCTTGTTTGGCTTTGCAGGAAAAAATCGGAACAAACTTCAGATCCTAATTTCGCGTATTCATCTGAGAGGTCTCGAGGCCGAAATAATCTTTATTCGAAGTACCATTCGCTTTGCTTCGAGCCGCCGCGACGTGCTCCAAACCATATGCTTCGTATCAGGGTCGGCCCATCCTTTTCCATGGAAAGAATCGGGAGTCGCATGTCACGAGAAAGGCGCCGGAATCCGTCAAATGGTTCGGGCCGAAAATACGATAAATTTTTTGTTAGATAGGCTGAAAATGAAAATTTTATTTTGGACTAGTGCCAATTTTGTAAATTTATGAAGCTTTTCCTCGTCCTCTTTGAAATTTTGGCCAATTGCTTTTTGATCAAACCCTTGAAAGCCCGAAGAACTGGATCAAGAAAAGCCCATCGCTCGTCTTTGTTCAGTTCAAGCCGTGCAAAGTGACATTACGGTTTAACGCTCAGATCGATCGGGCAAATGGAGGGCGAGCCTCCGGCGAAGGAGGACGTGTCGCCGGCGACGGCAGTTTTGCTCGGCGCTCTCGCTCCGGGAGTCAACGTACGGCTTTCGATTCCTCCAAGCGCGAGAGAGAGAGGGTCGTTGGCTTCGGAATCCCCTGTCCCCGGTAGTTGCTCGAGGAAAGTGATGTTTTTTCTTCGTTTCTTGTCTCTGTCGATTTCAGGGTCCGACATGGAACGCGCTGAAGATGGCGTTCGTGATGCTGGGTGGGTCCCTCGCCGTCATGATGGGGTTGGCCTTCTCTTCGAGCGATTCTTGGCTGACCCTCCATGTCTCGTTCCTCGTGATGATCACGCTCGCGCTGTTCTTGCTTCTTAGCTGGTAATCTTCAGCTGCTTGTGCTCTTGGAAATGTTGCTTTCCTGTCTTTTGATCGAGCCTCGCTTTGGATAATTGGAGTTATAGAAGGGTTAGTCAATTTGCCCATTGCCGTAAAAGTTTTTGGTGACGGGATAGTGCTAGGTATACGCTAAGTGATGTGACAAAGTGCAGTTAAACAAGTAGGTATAGCAATAAGTTTGGACTTTGTGCTTCCTCTTGTGATTACTACCCCGTATGAGGTTTCGGTTCGGCTTCCTAACGTTTATTTATTTGCTTATGTTTTGGTAATATAGGACTTGGTAGTTGAAATCCGCTTGCAGGATTTGGTTTTGCCATCGATTGATTGATGCTGTTTTGAAGAATTTGGTTTCCATTGACTAGAGGAAGTCTTGCTTTGGTCTTAGGTTCTTGGCTGGAGAAAGTAGATGAAAACTCTAGAATTCCTATAGTTGGAAATTTCATGGAATGGAGATGGTAATTGTTAGATCTAGACCCCTTTTAGAGGAAGAGTAATTGATTGTAGCTTCAACTTCAGTGTCTCATTGACTTTCGAACACACTTCGCATTTGCTGATAGGCATTGATTCATCTCTTGTTAATCTGTAGCAGACGCATGGTCTTCTACTTTTCTAGGGATACCTGCTCTCAATTAATAATTGTTGAAGGGAGATGAGTCTGCCTGATTTAGCATTCCTTTTCAGAATGTAAGGATACACAGTAAAAAGGTTTGATGTCTAAATCAACCATGGTAAATCAAGTTCCTGGGCTACCTTAAAGCTCTGTAAATGTGGGTGGCATTCCTTATCTTCTTTTTTTTTGGTAAAGGTAAGAGTTTGTATTACTTTTCTGAATCACCAAATACAAGGAAATGACAAGAGAAAACCCCGAATCCCGAATCTACATGAAGTCCGAAAGAGGGGGGGCACTCAACAAGGCAAAAACGAAAAACTAACAACCAACAATGCTAGGTACAAGATAGAGAAACTACACAACCAAATTATGAAAAAATGGAAGGTGAGAGTTCCCAGTTCCTTTGGAGTCGCCTATTTGTAGGTGTGTCGGAAATTTCCACGAGGATAGAGCTTTATCCTTCACCGGCTTGAGCAAGTGTTTGCGGATTCCGGAATAAAGATACTCTTGTTTCGAAAAGAGAGTTATTCCGCTCAATCCATATGATGTGACAAAGAGCAGAAGGAGAATCTAGCGATTCGGTGCGGAAGGAAGTGCCTCCACAAACTTTGAAGGCCCACGAAAGAAGCTCCGCCACGGATGATTGCGCCATGGCGGTGCATTTGGTTGCCCAAAATGAGGCCGGCCTTTGGTAACGTAGAACATTCGAAGAAGAGATGGTTGATGGAATGCGGGATAGTACGACGAAAGCACATAAACCTTGATTCAATCCGACGATTCCGCATAAGAAAGACCTGGGTAGGTAGCCGTTTTAATGACACAATCCATAATAAAAAGGAGTGGCGGGGGGTCAAGTGAGAGTCCCATATAAAGGAGTGCCAAGGTCTTTGGATTGCCTTTCTTCCTTATGTGGTTCCAGGCCGGGCCACCGAGAAAGATTCGGTCGGGTTTGGACTCCAGGTAAAGGCTGTCCGGAGTGTCATCATCTAATCTTGGAAGATGATCCATCCATTCCAGGATAGAGTGGAGGGTTGCTGATGGTTGCCATGTAGAGTGGAAAAAATCCCGAACCGAAAAGTCCCGCGGGATCCGAAGAGTCCCATATAAAGGAGTGCCAAGGTGCTGGATTGCCTTTCTTCCTTATGTGGTTCCAGGCCCGGGCCACCGAGAAAGATTCGATCGGGTTTGGACTCCGGTAAAGCTGTCCAGGAGTGTCATCATCTAATCTTGGAAGATGATCCATCCATTCCAGGATAGAGTGGAGGGTTGCGATGGTTGCCATGTAGAGTGGAAAAAATCCCGAACCGAAAAGTCCGCGGGATCGAGATTGGTATATTTCCGTATTGTTGAAAAGTAGGTAGAGGGGGCCTCTTGTGTGCCAAGCAATCATACCAAAAGGATATCGACCGGCCATTGCCAATTTTCCACCCGAAAAGTGGTGAATTTGAGACTCGCAAGTCGAGAATCTTCTTCCAAGTCCATGAGCAAAAGGTGGGCTTGGGTACAACCCAAAAGTTCTTCTTTAAAAAGTTAGAATGTATCCATTTACACCACATGGATTCCTTATCGGTGAAAAGGATCCATATGTGCTTTAGAGTCATGGCTCTATTATATTGATAAGCCTTCGTATCCGAGGCCGCCTTCATCTTTTGGGAGACGAGACAACATTCCAAGATACCTTTGCACCTCCCGTTCCTAAGCCAGGACCTTTCCAAAGGAAGCGTCGAAGGATAGCCTCAATGCTATTCAAGACCGATTTGGGGAGGAGAAAATTAGATAAACTTGGATGGAGAGTAAAACCGATTGTATGAGCTGTACGCGACCAGCGAAACGATAGGAATCTTTGGGTCCAAGAACGGGCTCGTGCCGTTATGGATTCAATGAGGAATTTGCAATCCTCTTTACGCAGCCTAGAAGAGATAATAGGCACACCCAAGTATCGAAAGGGCAGAGACCCTTGTTGAAAACCGATGCATTGAAGAAGAGCACTACGGAGATCGGGATTACCGCCCGAGAGGTACATATTGCTCTTATTAAGATTTGGTCTTAAGCCAGAACAATTTGAGAACAAATCGAGGGATTCCTTTATGAGCTCTAACAATCTCATGTGTCCTTGCGAAAATAAAAGAACATCATCAGCAAAGAACAAATGGGATATACGAGGTTTCTTGCATCGCCAAAACCACTTGGAAGTCCGGGTGTCGGTTTTGGACTTGAGGATAGGCGAGAAGATTTCCATAGCTAGGATGAATAGGTACGGCGATAGCGGATCGCCCGACGTATCCCTCATTTGCTATGAAAATGGCCATGTAGTTCTCCATTAATGGAGACCGAGAACTTTGCGGTTGAGATGCATGTCATAACTTGCCTAATGAAAAAATTTGGAAATTTGAAGGTGTAAGTACCCCTTTCTATGAAGTTCCAATCAAGTGTGTCAAAGGCTTTATGAAAATCAACCTTAATGGCACATTTTGGTAGATAAGCTTCATGGTGAAAGTCCGAAAAGCTCTTGTGCAACCATGATGTTGTCACCGATTCGGCGGCCTTTAACAAATGCTGTTTGGGAGGATCCAATCAACGTCGGTATAACCTTTGCAATGCGCCCGGCCAAGGATTTTTGAGATGCATTTATAAAGGGTGTTGCGGCATGCAATTGGTCGAAGTCGCTCGTGGCCGATGCATTTGGGGATTTTGGTACCAACGTTAAGATGGTGTTATTAATCTCTTTAAGCAAACGACCTGTCTCAAAGAAGTCCTTTATAGCCGTCAGAATAGATGGGCCAATGATCCCCCATGCGTGTTTGAAGAACTCAACATTGTAACCGTCGGGGCCGGGAGCTTTGCTCTTAGCAAGTGAGAAGAGATTTGATTGAATTTCTTCCTCGATGTCATGAGAAAGGATAGCCCTCGATTTCCATCTAAGACTTGGTCAATAAGAATCTCCAACTCGGAACAGAAAGTTGGGCTCTTCTTGAATCGCCATTTAATAGACTACGAAAGTGGCGTACAATATGGTTCTTGACTTCACGAGGTTCGATAGTAGCACACCATCCTCTGTTGAAACAGTGAGGATTCTATTGTGGAGTCTCCTCTTGTTAACAAAGTGATGAAAGTATTTAGTGTTCATGTCGCCTTCCTTGAGCCAACGGATTCTAGATTTCTGGCTGAAGAAAGATTCTTCTTGAGATCTCAAATCAGAGAAAGTTCGCAAGAGTGTGGCTTCGCTTGCATTTAGGTCTCGATCAAAAGGATTCGACTCCAAGGCTGTTTGAACGTCGGAGAGATTCAATCTAGCCTCTTTCCGTCCCGTTGGAAATATCGAGAAGGAAGCCCCTATTCATAAGTTTCAACTTTGCTTTGAGGGCCTTGAGTTTACAGCAAACTATAAACATAGGGGTGCCAATGTAGTGAGTATCCCAAACTTGGGTAACTATGTCCATGAAGTCTGGATGAGAAGTCCAGAAGTTAAAGAACTTGAACGGCTTGTTGGAAGAACTAGGTGGAACAATCTTAATCACCATGGGGCTGTGATCAGATATTCCAGGCGGGAGAAAATTGGCTTCAGAGAAAGAGAATTGTTGGAGCCAACAGTCATTTATAAGTACCCGATCGATCTTACGCATTTTCCGATTTGCCCCTGAGGAATGTGTCCAAGTGTAACGACATCCTACATATCGAAGGTCCTCCAAACCGGCTTGGTTGAGGCCTTCTCTACATTCATCAAAAGATGGAATCCAAGGTGTTGAGCTGCCCACCCTATCCTCCGGATCTCTGATTGCATTGAAGTCCCCGGCAACAATCCAAGGTAAGTCGCCATTGGAGAGTCGGTATAGGTCAGCCCATAGTTGTCTGCGCTTTACAAAAGTGTGTTCACCGTATACAATTGTAAACAAGCAAGAATCCTGGAGGTGCAAAAACCGGAGCTGAAGATGCATTATTTGGCAAGAAGTATAAATGAGACTAATATCCAGCTCATTTGGGTCCCAGCCGAACCAAATCCTACCAAGAGGGGAGAAGCTGTAGTTGGAGAGCCAACGCCAGTTGGTGGATAAGCCTCTTGAAATCACAGCAAAAGAAGAGGCTTTAACTTTGGTTTCAATAATCCCAATACAGCGAAGGTGATTTTTAGTAATGAAGGCACGAATTTCAGCTTGCCTCAGGGGTGCTACTAGTCCCCGTATATTCCATACGCCAAAAAACATAAGTAGATGCGATAACTAACGCCGAGTTCTCCTTGGCTTCCTCCTTTTGGATTTCTTTTTAGAGGAAGACGGACTAGGACATTCCGGGGTGCATTGCGTTATGTCCAGATCTGGGAAGAGGGTCAGCGGTTCGTCCGAAGCTCCGCAGAGAGAAGTGCGAGACCTTGTGTTGGGGGGGAGGAAGGTGCTGCCCCCCTTTCCAGTATTCCTTCCGGAGTCACTAGAGTTGTCGGAATTGCACGGGACTCGGGGAGATCCTTCGGTGGAAGCCTCTTTGAGGGTAGAGAATGCTCCTCAGTCAACTGATCAGTAGGATCTGCAGGACTTGAAGCAGAGGGCAGGCTTGGGCCTAGATCGGTGACCATAGGAGATCTCAGGTCAGTGTCCCCTCTCTCAGGTTGCAGAGGTGAATGCAAAATAGCCGGAGGGGATTCAGTCGTGTTCAGATTCAAGCCTGAAGCAGGGCCTGGGATGAACTGCGCAGGAGCTGTAATTGGTGCTGAAAGGGACTGTCCAGCAGGTGCTTTGCCTTTCCTAGAGGGCACTTGGGTCCATCCTTCATCTCTTTGGACAGGTGCAGGTTGGACTACTCTGTTGACATGGCCATTTGCACGAGCTGTGCCTCGCTGGACAGGTTCAGATTGAGCTGCACATTTGTAACCAGCAGAACCTTTTTTGTGTCCAAAAATGGCACAGGAAGGACAAGCCAGCGGTTTCCATTCGTATTCAACTTGGATTTCATTTACTTCATCTTCCCATCGGAACTTCACTTGTTCAGCTCTAGGAACTGAAGCCTTTATCTCCACACAGACTCGAGCATAGGAGATCCTTGACATTTGTTCTGTTTGAACATCAACATAGAGAGGTTTCCCTAAGGCACTAGCGATTCGCCCAATGCCAGAAGGTGACCATAAGGAAAAGGGAATGTCTCTCAATCTTACCCAAACCGGCATGGTCTCAATAACTCCTCTTTTGAGCTTTAGTTTGGAATGCCATTGCTGCAGTACCATAGTGCAGCTAAATATTGACACCGAACCAGAATCAACGAGCTTCCTGCGGAACTCAGAATCTGGGACTCTAAAGAAGTAGAATCCGTTTTCATGGAGTTTAATATCAGCCACTTTGTCACCCCATGCTTTCCTAATAGCCTCTTCAGTCAGCTTAAAGGGAGCTTTCTTCCCAATGTAGTGTCCCACGACACATTCCAACCAAAGGGGGTTTTCATCAGCCATAATATCAGGTGGAATGTCCACTATCAATTCACCATTTTCCTCTCTCGGGGGAACATAAGAAAGGTTGTAGCCTTTAGTTAAGACCCTAGCAACATTAGCCCAAGATCTGGGTTTGGAGCCCGAAGTAGGGAGACCATGAGGTTGGCTACCATTCTGTCCAGGCACAGTTTCAGTCTCCTTAGTACTAGGTTGCCGACTTGAGGATGCAACAAACTGGCCGCGTCTGAGAGAGCGGCTTCTAATCTTCGACCTACCCCTACTCCGATTACGGTTAGGTCCAGCAGGGGGAACAGCCAAAGTCGAATTCCTTAATTGTTCTATTACAGAAGAACCAGCAGCAGGACGATCAGCAACAACAGCCGTGGATGGGTTCAGGGATTTCCTAGCCGGCTCAGAGTCAGGCAATGGGTTCCTAGTAACCTCCTCCATTTGACCAATACAGAAATGCTATCACCAGCACTATCGATCAATCAGCCAGACTCAACAACAAACATCTCAGTTACAGCCCAAAATCGAAGCTCAAGAAACCCCAAATGAGTGTGTCCAGGCCAAACCAGTAACACCAGGGAGAGGGACTGATAGGGGGAGTTACCTTCACTGCGAGAGGGCTTCCCCTTCAGTATAAGCCCAGGAGAACCCGTCGAGAGCAAGAACCAGAGACGAACGGCGAAACAGAACAGGCCGACTCAGATCTGGATTTACGTCCTCTTCACTACGAGAGAGAAGGAATCAAGGGGATAGGACGTTGGGGAGAGTCCAGCGGCCTATGGCTCCTGATCACGTCTTCAACCGTCGCCGGAAGCCGCCGGAATCAACGAATTTCCGTCGGGTGAACAGTGTCTCCGAGAGCCCTAGCAGAGCACATGATCTGTTCGCATGAACAGTAACCGAGAAGGTGAAAAATGAGAAAAATAAATAAAAATGTTGGCATTCCTTATCTTCTTCTCCTATATCGGCCAATTTTCTAGGAACTTCACCTGATAAAACCAGGATAGTTATCAAAGACCTTTTGGAGCTATATTCACTGTAATTGTTGTCTTGGTATCTGAGAGAATGCTATCCTGATATCCCGTCTGTGGATATGGGGTGTCTTGGTATCTGAGAGAATGCTGTCCCGATATCCCGTCTGTGGATATGGGGAGCCAAGGATGGTAAAGAAGAACCAAGTATGGGTTTGTCTGATTGGGTGGCCTACTAGTCCTGCTAATACATAGGAAAATGATAGCTGGTGTGTACTTTGAAATGACAACTTTGAGATTCAATCATGTAACATTCGTTTCAGCTGGTTGAAATTTTCCTTTAGAGAAGTTCATTGGAATGGAAGTGGATGGAAATGAAAGTCTCACACATAATTTGCAGTGAAAGGAAAGAAATGCCCTCTGCTGAAAACTCATTGATATCATTTGAATATGATTAACCATATTTGTCTGTATATATAATATTTGTTGCTTAGTGGCACTGGGTGAACACTTCATTTAAATTAAGGGAAATTCGGTGCTCTACAAATGATTGATTGAAGTAATTGGTGTGGTGATAGGTGCTGTCTCCAGTCTTCTTGCTGTTTCAGTAAAATACTATCTTAACCTTGAAGTTGGGATATTTGCAACAATAAATTTGGTGGTTGTGGAACCGAATATAGTATGTTTGGTTAAACTTGAAGCCATTGTGACGGTTGAACTTGTAGCAGCAAACAGAATTGCTCAAACGCGAGACTTCTTTCTGGTTAAGAATTTAAGATGGAACATGTATAGGCTGCTGAAGGTTCTTGGAGCTTGGATTGGTGGCTCTTTTACTGTCTCTTCTTCCGTTGGTTGCCTCATCTTGTGCCCAATTGCTCCTGTTTACTCTATACCATACATGCATCTCTAATTTGTCTTTGTCCAATAAAACAGGCTTCCACTGCACATGTGGCAAGTCTGACAGTCCTAGAGTACCTAATTCCGGAAAAGAAAGCACCTGCTAAAAAAAAAACAAAATAGTAAAGAAAAAGAAATAAATATATAAAACAGAAACACCTGGTCTGATGAGAATTAGGATCCTTCAGTTTTGTTCATGTTCAGTCTCATGTCTTGCTTGGTTATTGCTTGGTATGTGAGTAACTCTACTGAAAACTTCAGCTACATCTGGAGTGGGAATGATTAGTGCAATGTCAGTCTTCCGCCTTTTTTGTATTGCCCTGTGCAGTTTGATTCATTGCTTCTCTCTGCCTCATAGAATGCTTGCCTCCAGTTCTGGGGAAATGCAAGATTTGAGGTTTTAGGGCAATATGATGAGGTTATATAAGTTCTTCCTAATGTATCATGACTTCATAAGAACAAAACAAAAAATAGTCTTTTACGTGGAAATTCCCAAGTATATGATGGCCTGGGAATGGTGGATCCCTTTTACTTCTAACCCTGTCTCTCCTTTCCTTCATGGTTCTAAACATTAGGAATGGATACTGAAGTTGGATAGTCAGTTCCAACCTTTTATTTAGATGTCAGTTTGCTTTAGTGCTTCCAAGATGCAATGACGGGGCACTAACTGATCACTGTTTTCGACTGCCTGCTGTTATTTCCACAGCTTCAACAGTCATGGGAGCAACTATTGAGCATTTTAAAACCAATATACCAAAATAACGTCCACTTTCTGAAACTGGGCTTTGGGCCATTTCATTTTCACTTGTCTTTGTATCTGGTTCACTTGCAGCGACTCACCTTCTAGTCCAATCCATCTGCTCTATTTTCTGCAACCTTATCCTAGCAGAAGGTGAACTCTATTTACTTAAGTAGGAACATAAGCTATATGTGTCCCTTGCCATATTAACCTCATCAAACTAACGCTTCACCAATGTTCCTCCTGTTTCCTTGTTGCACTCCATCTGTCAACACCTCATCAGTCTTCATATCCAAGTCTCTTCTTTTCATTTGCATTTTGCTACCTATCAACTTATTCCTAGATACCACTGACTCAACAATGCTTTGATTATTCCTATTGAGGTTTCATCTGCCATCTCCGTACAATACCCTGCGCTGGTACTATCAGTTCATGAGCTGCAAATTGTTATCAGAAACAAATTGAAAGTTTGAAGTGGCCGACTTCTCAGCAAAGTTTGGACGTGCTTCAGGAATTAGAGTTTTGATACATGGCCATGATGTCCTAAATAAGCTGCCAAAGTCAACCCAGACTTGCTCTAGGTGTCATAAAAAACAATCCATCATGGCCTAAAGCTAACATGCAGATTATTGTAACCCTCACAAGCCTATCAAACTGGTGACCCGGGAAAGGACATTTTCTTTTCCAGGGATAATCTGTTTTGCCCCGTTTTCATTATCGTCCAATAAATGCACATCCTCTCCCTTTTCTTTTTTCTTTTTATTTTTTTTTATTACTATCATTTTGTATCACTTATCTTCTGGAGTTGTCCAAACAACTGACACGGATGAATCTGTTTTTGTTATCTAGTCTCGAACTTTATCATTGGCTGGGAGATAAGCTTTGCTTATTTTATCTTTGAAGTGTTGTTCTCAGGACACAGGCATGTTTTCTGTAGGTTTCTCGCGCAAACCGGATTGGTTTCAGTTGAAACTCAAATGCAGGATCTCAATTTAGTGCCGAACAATCAGACTGAGAAAGAAAAAGTTCGCTGATGTAGTCCATGGTCTCGTCAAGTGTAAATGCCAGGCCTGACAATTTTCGAGGTTACTCATGCATGACTTAGGAGAAGCGAGACAAGAAAATTGTTTGAAGAACTGCAACGCCAACAATAGGACACCCCAGGTTGTTTGTTTATCGGTCTCATCTCAGACTATTTTTCTCTCATAGGCTTTACACAGGATTAAAATACTTAACGCATTTATTTTTAATCGTTCAATTGTTTCAGATGTACTAACATGTACTTTCGGAAAACTGAATACGGACGCACTTTTTCACCCTGATATTAGTTCTCTCTTTGATTTTCATGCTCTTCCTACCGTTTATTCTGACATTAAATCATGCGCTATTCTGTCTCTTTTACCGTTGTCTAAGGCCAAGGGCAATTTACTCTCTGTTATGGTGGTTTATTTTTGCTTTGAGATATTTTTCCGCGGCAGAGATCCTGAAGTAGGACAAAATCTGTGGTAGAAGCATCATGAAATTCACGACGGGGCATCACGGATGGCTTGTTATCATCTCAAGCCATTAGCAGATGAATTTCCACCTGAATATTGCAGTCAGTCTTTTTATCTATACTTTTCAAGTGTTCTCAGGCTTCAAAAGTGACGATATCACAAACACCTGGGAGATGGTGTTATAATGGAGTTGTAATATCACTATTGCTAGGCATTACTATTCATACTTTGCCTTTCTATCCTCCCATTTTCATCCTCAAAATTAATAACTGAAGTTAAACGGTTAAATACTTGATAAGCAGGCAAAGTTACTAGACTAAATTGAATGAGAAGTGAAACTGAATTGTGGCTGCAGATTTCAATCAGGATTAAAAGAGAATCAAAATCCAGAGCTGACTTGAACAACTGTAAAAACTAAATTTGATGAAAGAAAATTCCGGGTACCATTTGGTACTGGATTTCCTTGTAATCGAAGAATTATGGAGTCCACTTGATTTATCATTTCTATGTTGCACCGCTTTTGCCTATCCAACACGGATCCAAGAGGGAGTAAGTGCGTGGATCCATGGTAGTAAGAGTTTCAAGACCTCTGCAGTAGCCATCGAAGTCGATCTCGTGGCCGTCTCCCGTCGAAGCATCCGGTTGTCCATAGGTCCCCTCGCTAGCGGCATTTAAGTAATCTCTGTACGGTACAGAAGAGCCTGCAGAGAAATTAGCCGCCAAGGCTTCGGTATCTTCTTCGCCGTGTTTGAATTGTCCCATTAGCAGTGCCAGAATGTCTTCTTCTTCTTCGCCTTCGACAGCACTCAGTTCATTCGAGTATGGTGCCATTGAGGTGTTGAGGTCAAGGTCTGCAGTGGCTTGGTATTGTTGGTTCCAGGGATCTGCTACTGTTCTGGCCACCCTTTCAATGGAAAAGTACTGTGTCACACACAAGCACCAAAACTTTCTGAGGTTAGGGTACACAAAATGATTCTGGCGGCAATGAGAAATTAAAAAGATCATATCAACTCGCTTTTTTGAATGAGGCGATAAATAAAACCAATCGTTTCCTACGAGAAAGGTAAAGAAAAGGTGCTTTCGTATGGATCGACCGGCGTCACCCCATGCTTCTTGAGACCTCCACACCCCTTTTTTTTTTTCTAAAAACACGAGGTAACTTTATAAAATCTTAATCTTCTTTTCGGATATCCTCTTAATCGAAGTTAGAAGTCTAATTTGCTCAATAAACTATTAAAGAGTATGTTTTAAGCCAATAAAAGCAAGGGCATACGTACAATTAAACAATCGAGGGCATTGTAAGAGGAAATACTCGTCGCAAGAGGACAAGAAGATCGAGATCCCTTAAAAATGAAACGCTTTATTTTTCTTTTTATAATCGATATATTTTATCGCCCTCTCTACAAAATGTGAATTCTTATCGCTATTTCAACTTATGTCATCAGCTCGAGTCATTTTGTTTATTACTAGAACAAGTTAGGTTCTGATTCATCCCTAATGAAACAAAATCATGTTCTACAGAGGTCGTCTAAAACATATCAACATGTCAATTTCGAGTTAACTTTATTTAAATCACCATTTTAAGCTCTTGATGAACACCTCAGTCTACATTGAGCTCTTCAATATAGTAATGCCAAGAGATAAAAGAGACCTTATAATAAGGTGGTTGGCTTATCAAAACTGCACGACAAATTATAAAGAAAAAAATACCTTAATTAAAGATTTCCTTCATTCCGAATTTTGGGAAAAATGATATTTCTATTTTTTTTCTTGGAAATTTTGTATCTTGACAAACATTTAGACTACTCGTGTTAGACACACACGCCTTGTCCTAACTTTTCTTTAGAAATACGATGTAATGACCTTTTTCATTTTTTATTTTAGCTTTTTTAAATGGAAGATTTCCTACAAATTGTCATTAACGTTGTAATCCTACGTCCTCATTATGACCTCCACTTTTGTAGTCAATGCTGTTCACCTCCATTAAATTTTGTGGCAATGTCCAAGACTTTAATTTCGTTGCCTAGCTAAGCAAACTCGCCTCCTTTTTAAAGTTTTAAACTTGAAATATCATGCTTTCAACGTGATTAATGAAGCATATTATATGAAACCCAATAAGGAAATAAATAATTAATTGACTCACGATCTTCTTGCGTTCATCTTCGTAGAATGTAATGGAATCTCCAATGTCCAGTCCATTTTGCCTCACTAATTCTCCTGTAAGGAATTAGATACAAAGACATAGATAGGAATTAGGGTTTTCATATTGTAATGAGAACATTTCGAGATGATAAGGATGCACATATTTTCTGCACACCCTCTTATTATCGGAGAATCACATGCTAGATGAATCCAACGAATGCGATCGTCCCAAATAGGACATCGGAAAAAAATAAAATCGGAAGAGAATGGAAAAGATACCTGTATTTTCGAATATATACATCCTGCTATTGTTGTTTGTCCAATACCTATGTTTTTCAAGGGGTTTGCACTATTAGTCCAAGAGGAAAAATAAATTCATAGACAATTTAAATTATTATTTGGAGCTGTAATGAACTAAGAACAAATAAAGGGCAACAAAGATCAATGAATATTGTTGCTAACCTGTATCTCAGGATCCACTCATGGTGAGAGTACACATCTCTTATCACTAATTGAATTCCTTCTTTGTCGGAAATGATTGGAAGATTTTCTTCTGCCTCCCTCTAATTTGAAATCAACAAGGGGCAAACACCCAACTTACAAAAAAAGTTAAACTCTAGAGGTTGACCATGAAATTATCAAATAAATTTGTGGCTTATATTAGTCTTTTGAGTCTCACCTTTGGAAGTACGATCCTTCCTAGATACCCGACGTCACTGTTCTTCAACTCCTTTTTGAGAAGCATTCTCAATCTCTATTCCAACCAACACAACATTCGATTAAAAGACAATCACAATCACAAAAGAGCCACAAAAAACTTCCAATAACATTCAGAATTTGAGATATAGTTTAGATTTCCCCACCTTACCATCTGGCATTAAAAAAGTATGTTGATCCTCCCCAACATTGTTTTCCAAAGTTTGATCATCCATGGGATGTTTGCTTGAAATTAACCCATTGCTCGACGGGCTTGCGTTCGTAGGAGACAAAGCCGAAGAGCCCCTTCGGTGCAAATCAAGGCTCCTCTGGCGAGCCATCTTTCTTCTGTTTCTGGCAGCCTTCGTCGCCTGAGCGTCGAGAACCTTTTGTTCATGCCCTGCCAGATCGAACGTGGTTGGTCGCGACGATGGCAATTCAAATTGAACCGGTCGAGGACCGTTGTGATTTTGCCAGAAACAGAAAGGCTGGGGCGAGTAATGAGGTGGGTATGGATATGGAAATGGCAGCCCTTGAAATAAAGGTGGGGATTGTGTTGGGGCATGAATGATCTGAGTTGGGGGTTGTTCCAATGAAGAAAAATGAAGGTTTTGAGGATGAGCCATGATTGGTTGCCTGCTTATATTGTCAGTGCTTGTGGGCTTGGTGGAGCCAGATGGTGCAAGAAACCTGTACATTTTCCTCTGAAAATGAAACTCAAAACAATAAATGGTGAAGAAGATTTTGCTAATTTTTTTCAAATCTCTAGCTAGTTGGAGTTTGTGAAAGTGAAGAGGCTTTTTATGGGGCGGTGTCTCAAGCTAGGGTTAAGGCCATATTAGTGTAGGTCACTTGAGTAGGAAAGAAACAAAATCTGGTTTTAACTCAATGGGTTAATTTCTCAGTTGTCAATTGCATAATGGGAAGCAATTAAAGTCTATACCGAATGCTAATGAGGAAAACAGATAAGAATTCCGCGTACTATTTGTGTTACATCGTCCGTAAATATCATCGTTCCTAAGTTGAGTCCTTCCTATAAGTTCTTACCTAGGTCTAATTAACGGTCGGCTTAGAATATGTGTCAACTTGTAATTACTATAGTGAGATAATATGCTTTTTGAAGATAATTAACGGGCATTATAAATGAATCGTCTAATGCCTAGATAATCAAACATGAAACACACACAACATGTGATGTTCTTTTGCCGAGGTTATATCCTCCAGCAGAAGTTTTGTTTCTCTATAAGCATTATTTAATGAAGGACCAACGTCCATGTTTTGGACTTCAGTTTTGTACTCTCATTATTTGATAAGTGAAACCGTTACGATTTTCCTATACCTTCGAGTGTGAAAAGGATGAGCGGAATGAGAAAGTTGTCAAGACTAACAAATTCAGAGGAAACGATGGTTTCAAGGGGAAAAGGCGAGAGAGAGAGAGAGAGAGGAAAAATATAGCGTGCACTCGTTATATAGACAATCTGATGGCAAAATCAACATCATTTTGAAATTATATGAGAATTCAAGTTCGAAGGGATAATTGTCCAAAAAACTCTAAATCTATTGTATGACAAGACTTTTCAATATAGCCAATTTTATGACCAAAATATATATATATATATAGCTAATTTAGTTCTAAATCCTTTGATAATTTGACAATGTAGGCCTTCTAGCCAAAATTGATCGGAAACCGTTAATGTGGTCCCCGTCCATCCTACATGGTACGGCCGAGATTGACGTTGACAATTTTTATAATATTTCTAAATTTTTTACAAGACTTTTCATTATAGACAATTTTCTGACCAATATATATATATATATATATATATATATATATATATATATATATATATATATATATATATATATATAGCTAATTTAGTTCTAAATCCTTTGACAATTTGACAATGTAGGCCTTCTAGCCAAAATTGATCGGAAACCGTTAATGTGGTCCCCGTCCATCCTACATGGTACGGCCGAGATTGACGTTGACAATTTTTATAATATTTCTAAATTTTTTACAATTTTGTTTTTTCTTTTGTTTTCTTTTTTTTTTTTTCATTGTTCATCTTCCCAAAATGGTCAATGGGGTCGCCGGAGCCTTGACAATGGTCATAAACCCTTGTCGGCTGCGAGCGAGGGCCACAAAGCCATCATCAGTCGCAGGCGAGGGCATGCAGGCCCTCACCCCAACTGGTCAGGATGCCCTTGCCTCTCGCCAACCATCGCTGAAGCCTCGCCAACCCCCGCCAACCCTTACAAGAAGATGAACAGCGAAAAAAGAATGAAAAGAAAAGAAAAGAAAATTATAAATATATATAAAATTATAAATTATAAATTTGTAAAAAAATGTCTATGTCAGTACTAGATGTACAACATAGGAAAGCCAACAATCATATCAGCGATTTTTAGCAAATTTTGATTAGAAGGACTACGGGTGTGTTTGGTTTAGCTTTCCCAGGGAACTTTCAACCTCTTAAGTCCCTAGGAGAAAAGTTATGATGTTTAGTAAATTTTTTTGAACCAATTTGAGAAAATGCCAACATTGGCAAAGCTGAAAGCTAAAGGTAGGTGTGACTTGCCTTAAGCTTTCAACATTTTCGAAAGGCAACTTTCGAGGTTAATGAACTATTTTTTCATTCAAAATGTCCCCCCACTATTTTTTTTAAAATTCCGGTCTTGCCCTCGCTCCGCCACTGTTCTCCGATTGTTAAAGGGTCTCCACCTATGTCGTTGCGCTTGGGTCTCCGCCTAGTTCATGCTGCCCTCGCTCGCGACTAGTAGGCGAGATCTAGAGGGTCGTGACTTAGGAGGAGTAGAGCGGTTGATCTCGAGTATGCAATTTGAGTAGGGGAGGTCCGGCTGGAGTTTTGGGACAACACGAGCTGTGGAGCGCTCGGAGAGGTCGCTATCAAAGCGAACGAAGAAGAGGTGGGCGTCGCTACGGTTCTCGGTGACACAGGGGCTTCCAAGGAGGGAAGCAAGGAAGAGCAATTCGGCTTCGGATTTGAACTCGAAAGTCCTGCTGGCATCGTAGACGAAGATTATGAAGTTTCGAAGCATGTCGTCGTAGCCGGCAGCGAAAATGACATGTGATAGATACGGTGGGGGAGCAAAAGGAGTAGTGTACAAAAATTGGAGTGAAGAGAGAGAGTGGAAGGAGGAGGAGAGAGAGGTCGGCGATGAGCATTTTTCGCGAGAGGTGGAGAGACGAGCAATTTATGTTGTGATTTAAGATCAAAGCAGGATTTTGGGTGTTTTCTTTTTTTTTTTTATAGTGACTTGTCCGAACGATATCATTAGTTTTGCAGCCCAGCAGCATCATAACTTTTCCCTTCACTAATCTTTTTAAGGAACAAAACCTGGCAAGACTCATCCTATCGTGGTTTTATCAAACCTAATCAAGTAATAGAAGATATTCATGCCCTCAATTACAAATGTATGAAAAGTTACTAGAAGATTGATAAAATGAATATTTTAAATTTATTGGTTTACCAATTATGTATATGCTCTTTGGTATTTGTGATGAAATTAATGAATATATTTGGATTAATCTTAATTGAGCAATTTTGTAAAAGACTTTATATTCCTCAAAATAAACTTCTTCTAACTAAAGATGAGCATCGGTCTCGGTTCAACCCGGGAATTGGACTAAACCGGCCCATTCTAGGTGATTCCTGTGAGAAGCAATAGGTTCCCGATTTTGGGTGCTAAACCCATCCACCCACCCTAGAACTGATATTGTTCACATCATAACTTCTTTTTATTATGTAATTCTAGATCATATCTAGGGCTTTTGTATCGAATGAGTCGTTTTCTTCTTGTGTTGTGGAAGTTTTGGTGGCATTTATCGATGAGATTGACTCGAATCAAATCGATTTGTTTGGATTTCTTTTCCCCTTTTCTATAGATGGATTGGATAAAGGGAAATGGCAACGTTTGAGCTGCATCAGAGGTGGACGATCGGGATGTGCCTGATAGAGACCTTGGATGAGATGGTCTCTGTTAAGGGAATCAATCAATCACCGAAATTCAAGAAATCTACAACAATCAAGCAATCAACAACATTCTGGTTCCACCAACGATGGTAACACCAAAGAAGGAAGATTGGAAGAATCAAGCAAAGAAGGAAATCCACAACACTATCTCCACCAAAGAAAGAAACAAATTGACAATCAAATCCCCACAAATCAAGCATTAACAAATCACTACATCAATTCCCAATCAGTGAATTACGTTTCCTTTCAAAACCCCCTTAAGTGTAGACATTGGTCTTCTTGTGAAAGTCTATAAATAGAACCTCTGTAATTGTACAAAGACACGACAGAAAAATACAAAACACAGAAAGATTATTTACACATTCCTTTCTCAATCGTCTTCTTGTGAAAGTCTATAAATAGAACCTTTGTAATTATACAAAGACACGATAGAAAAATACAAAACACAGAAAGATTATTTACACATTCCTTTCTCAGTTGTCTTCTTGTGAAAGTCTATAAATAGAACCTTTGTAATTATATAAATAGAACCGCCGCGTCGACTCGCGGTTCGAGATCATCCTCTTCCTCTTCCTCTGGTCCATGACAACCTGCAATTCCTCCTCGGGGCCGATTTCTGAACCAGGGACGACCCTGAAGATGTCCCACAAGGAGATGCCATTGATGCAGATACAAACTACAGTGTTTTGTGCGCCAGTAGAGGGTTGAATCATGAGACATGGTAGAGCCAGTAGAGGAAGACAACCGAGAAGGATTGAACAAGGTGGGTCCTACGCTTGAATGAAGAGGAGATTATCTACCAACAGAGAAGGATCTCACTGAGAATTGGAGACATGGGTCTCAAACATCAAGATGTGGGTGATGAGCATGAAAATAGATTTCTTGATAAAAAAAACACCTGATTTGTTGGGGGAGGTGAACGGTTTGGCATGCGAACCAGGAGGCTCCCCAAAGCCACATTCAGGACAGAGAGGACTTTGCAAGAGAAATAGAGCAGAGGAGGAATTAAAGCCGACCCGGCCCGGCCCGACCCGACCCGACCCGGCACATCTCTTTGGGGTGTATGCTGTATAGGGTCTCGGGGCGGGTCAAGCACAACCCTCAAGGTTTCGGGTCGAGTAGGGTATCATGAAAGGCTGACCCGACCTGACCCGACCCATTGACACCATTGGTGGGTCATGATTTGCAGGAGCAAAACCATCGGCTAGTTCCTGGATTGGAAACGGACTAGCAGGATCAGTCCCCAGTCCCAAAAATTGAGAACAAGCAATGTGCGGGTAGGCACCATAGTCAGGGTATTGAACCGGTTCATACTGAAACTGATCACCGTTATTTCTCATCACCCTTGCAATTAATGAGCCACAAATTGTGGACATCAATCACATGCAAAATTAACTAAATATAAATGATGTCTATGATTGTAATACACCAACTAGAAGGGTGGTTAGAAAAAGTTTCCTTAAGAGGAAACGTTGTTGGAGGAAAACATGGTCCTCTCATAAATCACACCGACCGATAAACTAATAACATTTTCACATTACTTCCGAAGAACTTACTTCTTGATATGGATCTAAAAACAATAGCAAAATTTTTTAGATGCACTTTAAAGCCACCAATTTGACGGAATGCAAATGATAAATTCAAGTAAATCTAGCGAACGAGAACAAAGACAATCTTAATATTATGCATTTATGAAAGGGATAAGTGCATCGGAAGTCTTAAAACTTGTCATGAAAGTACAATTGAGTCCTAAAAATTTCAAAAAGTGTAATTAAGTCCTAAAACTTATCAAATGATGCAATAAAGTCCTTTCATTAACTCCGTTCAATTTGTCTAACGGGAAATTTTAACATGGTTTTTTTTATTATTTTCCCAATCTTACGTGGCATTGATGTGGTTAAAACGACATCTCTTTGGTCAAAATCTGATTTGTTAATACAAATTTCATTAAATTATATTTAAAAATAAGCTAACTTTACAAAAAAGGGAAAAAAAAGTGTTAAACCAGGCAAGGGCTACAAGCATTCATCTACTCTCTCTCTCTCTCTCTCTCTCTCTCTCTCTCTCTCTCTCTCTCTCTCTCTCTCTCTCTCTCTCTACGTTAGCTTATTTTTCATTTAATTCAAATAAAATTTGAATTAAAAAAGTCACATTTGAACCAAAACGACATCGTTTTTAGCCTTATACTTCATGTTTTAATTATGTCATCGCCATGTAGGGGAGACAGGAAAAAAAAAGTTGCATTAGAATTTTTCATTAGTTAAGTTGGAAAGAGTCAAGAAAGGACTTTATTGCACAAATTAAATAAGTTTTATGACTTAATTGCACTTTTTGAAAGTTTTAGGACCCAAAGTGTCAGAAAAAAGTCCTAAACCTTTTGCATTA